GCGAAGTTCAACACGATGGGCATCAAGATCAACCGTCTGCATAGTGATCGGGCTAAAGAGCTGCTGTCAAAAAAGGTTGAAAAATGGTGCTCAGAGCGCCTTATAAGACAGAGCATGACGGAGGGAGACGACCCGGCATCAAACGGCCATGTGGAATCAGAGGTCAATCAGCTTAAAAGGCGAACCCGTCTGTATCTCCGCGTGGCAGGAAGTGAGGTGACCGACTGGCCTCAAGCCATGAGGTATTGTGCTGAAGAACGAATGAGGCAACAGTTGGAGAAACTGGGAGTGCCCGTACTGTCAATGCTACCCTTCAGGGCCAACGTCTTGGTTCGGTCAAAAAGATGGTTCAAAAAGGGGGCGATTCCGTCTCCATACACAGAATGGACGCCTACTGTGTCCGAGTCCAATGATGTTCTCGGGCTGGGTAGTCCAACAGAAAGATGGAAAAGTGGTTCATGCTCGAGAAGTGGTTGTTCCGAGTGAGGAAGGGGAGCGGGTCCGCATCAGGTTGGAGATAGAAGACAATCCTGAAAGGCCTCACAGACGGCTTTACTCCAAGACCCCGCCAGAAGGTGTCATGAGGTTGCCGCCAACCATTGGTGACGCTCCGCTACCACCTCCTGACGAATCACCACCCGAAGATTCAGAGCCATACGAACCGAGCGAAATGCTCGAAGCAGATGAAGGGCCTGATGAACTCGATTTGCTTTTTGAAGAACTCAACAGAGAAGATCCGGAAGCTCCTGTGGAAGAGATTGACAGCCTCGTGCCGGAAATCTCAAAAATGAAAGTAGAGCCTGCTGAAGTGTCAGCAGGGGGGGAGCCCGGTAACCTTTTCAAAAGTGAAAAAATCAAAGTTTCAAGTGTTTCTGCACAAGATGGTCCAGACTCGGTGGAGAAGCACATGGAAAGAAGTCCAACCTCGGGGGAGTTCATCGTCAGAAACGTTAGCTTGACACACCTGCTGAAGGTCAAAGAAGATCAACACCTTGGAGTTGTGGAAGCCATTAAGGAAGAACTGTCAAATGTTCCAGTGGATCCCACAAACGGTTTCATACAGGGACAAGTTCTACGACTTCCACAAGAACATCGTGAAGATTTGAAAGCAGAACTGGAAGCTGTAACAACTGCAAAGGTTGAGGAGGAAAGGCGAGTGTGCCAACTGAGGGTCTGTTCAGCACAAGCTGAAGAACAACTTCAAACGGTTACAGTCCCTCTTCACAAGGTGAGGATGGAAAAGGAAAAGTGGTACGACTCGATGCTCGCCGAGTACAAATCATTGACTGCAGAAACAAAGGCTATCCGACCAGTCAAAAGATCCGAGATTGACCCTGAAGCTGAACTGGTGCCGGGGAAATTGGTCTGTGTGATCAAGGCTGGAGGGAGATACAAATGTCGCGCTGTGACCTGCGGCAACTTGGCATCACCGGAAGCGGATCCCATGCCTTCCTCTCTGCTGTATGCCAGTGGAGCGGACGGGGTTCTGATAAGGTGTGCATTGCGAAAGGCAGCTCATCACCAATGGGATGTAGCCACGACGGACATCAAGACCGCCTTTCTACTAGCTCCTCGGCCGGTGGAACAAGGTGCCAAAACCGTGGCGGTGGTTCCGCCCAGGATTATGACCGATTTTGGGATTACCCAACCGGATGAAGTCTGGCTTGTTGACAAGGCCCTGTATGGGTTTCAGTCCAGTCCTGCCCACTGGGCGGTGTACCGCGACCAAACAATGCGGCGGTTCACATGGCAGGGAGATGCAAGCCCGGGGGAGGTGCAGAAGGATTACAAGCTAGAACAAACACCGGAGGGAAATTTGTGGAGAATCCTGTGTAAAGGTGGTGACGCTCCAGGAGAAGAAGTACGTCCTGACGGATATCGACAAGTAGGTTTGGTGGTCGTCTATGTGGACGATCTCATGGTTCTTGCTGAACCTCACGCCAAACACAGCTTCTTGAAGAGGCTGAAGGAAGAATGGACATGCTCCACTCCTGAAGAAGTTGATCACGAAGGCTGGGTTCGATTTTGTGGGTTCGAGCTCCAATGGAGCGGTCAAGGGGATCACAAGAAGTTGAAGGTGGGACAACAGTCCTACACTGGGGATCTCTTGAATCGACATCAAGTGGAACACCCCAGACCAGTTCCAATGACGAAGGCGGATGCTGAACTTCCAGAAGAAGAACAACCAGCAATCGAAAACATACGACAAGCCCAAACAGTGGTGGGTGAGTTGTTGTGGTTGTCCATAAGGACAAGGCCGGATATCAGTTTCGCCGTCAGCCAATTGGGAAGACAGGTGAACAAACGGCCAAAATGGGTGGTGAAAACTGCACAACAGGTGTTTGGTTACCTGAAAGGAACCGAAACTCAATATCTCAGCTATGGGGTTTGCACAAGTGATGATCGTGGTCCCGAAGATGACCTGCCATTTCACCGGGAGATGCAGCAAGTTGAAATGTTCTCGGACATTTCATTTGCCCCTGCGGGCAAAAGATCACTGCAAAGTATCCTAGGTTTTTATGGTGGAGGGTTGGTTCAATGGGAAGCCAGCCGTCAAGCTTTTGTGGTGTTGAGCACCGCCGAAGGGGAACTGATGTCCTACTTGGAATCCATGGTCATGGGAGACTCTCTGGCGTCTCTCATAGAGGTCGTGGAAGGACGGAAAATCGGGCAGAAGATCATCTACGGAGACAACACGGCTGCAATAGCCATCTTGGAAAATCCTGACGGTCCGTGGAGGACTCGACACTTGCGGTTGCGAGCAACAGCCCTAAGGGAGCGGTTAAAGGATGGTAGTTGGATCATCCGTCACCTTCCGGGGGTAAAACTTGTGGCCGACTTCCTGACGAAGATCATCGCTGTGAAGCCCAGCTGGGACAGGTTCTGGAGGTTCGTCAATCACCAAGGTTCCGGGGTTCCAATTGAGGAACCATCAATGGGGTCCAACCGTCGTGAAGAACAACCTCTGGGAGAAGAACAACATCCGGAAGAACCAGACCAGACTCCTTCCTGGAACAACTACCGAGACATCGCTGATCGGTGTGTTTCAGTGGTGAAAAAGGTGGTTGGTGTGACCGAGAACCATCCAGAACTAGCCGATTTCCGGCATGAAGCCCTTAGCACTGCCATTGGAAGGCTGGTGCAAGTACTGGCTGATGCGTATCGCGTCACTGAATCCGTGGTCAAGGATCGGTTCCAGTTGGAGTCGGTCTTACCGTTTTTGGAGAAGAAGAACATTCCTGGACAAGTTGAACATCCTGTAGAAGAAGAACCTAGGGGTATCCTAAAACGGGGGAATAGATCCAAAAGGGTTAACTCAAAACCAGAAAGGGTTCATATTTGGGATGAAAGTCCACCAATTTTGAAAGTTTTGCGGGTACAAGATCACCACGGTCATGTTACCCAAATGCACAGTTCTGGAAAAGAAGAACCCATCCCTAAGACCATCCTGCGTCATGGACAAGAGAAACATTGGGACTTGGATCTTGCCAGGTCCAATCGAAAAGAACATCGAGCTGCTGAAGATGTACCAAGGTCGGGTCCCACAGAAATGAGGGATCAGGTAGCAGTTCAAGGGATGAAATTTCTGGGGAGTGTGGTTAAGATGGGTGAAATACAACTTCATGGTAAACCCTCAAAAGGGATAGCTCCGCAACCAATGGGAACTCAAGGCGATCAGAAGGAAAAAGAAGTCCGGATCCTATTGCAAGTGGGAACCGAAAAAGAAAAAGAAAAAGAAGAACTAAAAAAGGATAGATCGCCGGGAAAAGTACATCGGTGGCTGGAGAAAAAGATCATCAAGACCCAGGGAAAAGATCATTAGCTGCCGGTGGAAAAGATCAATACAGGGAAAAGCTCATCAGCTGCTGGACCCAAAGAACACCGTTGGGCGCTCTTCGAGTGCGGCGCTGGTGAGAGAGGGAATTCAAAAAACCTACGAAGTTAGGGCTGTAGTTTTTCAATTTTTGGAGTCAACCCGAAGTGGAACTCCACGCGACCCTTGGATGAAGGGGGAACCAACACCAGCCTGGGACCATGGCACACGAGGGTCTTCGCCCTTCTGGCTGGGGGAAGGGCGAGTTCCCGGAGGAAACGTGGCCACCCCTGAAATTGTTGTTTTTGGTGTTGGGGAACCTGGATTCCTGCAAGCAGGAAGGGGGAGTGCGGTTGGGAAACATGCACAGAGTACCACTGCAACCCCACTAAGGTCTTTTTTTAAGTTTTCACAGTCGTTGAGACGTCCTCCGACTGTTGCAACTATGGCTCAAGGCTCAAGGGCCAATCAACTGACTGGCTCAATACCGAGCCCAACTTGGAGTGAAAAGGTGCACCCGCATCTGCCTCTTGGTGGGGACCTCCGGGAAGGGACTTGGTTCTGTAGAACCCGTGGCAACATTTTGGAGCTGGAAGCTGCCTTGTCAACGGTATTTGCAACATTTTTGAACTCGAACCTCTCATTTTCCATGGTATGTGCAACATTTTGATGCTAGAACTGTTCATGCCATATGGTAGTTTGCAACTAGGGTTCGTTTAGGGTTAGCTTAGGGTTTTTCGGATTGGTTTTCTGTTTTTTGGGGTTGGCTTTAGAGTTGGAATTTATTCAGTGTCTTTTTAGTTTGGTTAGGGATCTATTTAAGGCTGGTTTTAAAGCTTATGTGAATTTGGTTTAAGATCTATTTAGGGTCCGTTTAAGGTTCATTTAGGGGGTGTTTTTGGGTTTATTCAAGCTGGAGCTTACTTTTCGACCCTCCAGAGCTGCAAAGCATTGAAAAAAAAACACAGTGTTTCGCGACTTTTCTACCTGTTCGCGCATTTTGATCTTCTTTCTACTGACTCCATCTTCTCTGACACTGTTGCTGCATCTCTCCATAAGTCGGAAGTTTGACTTCTAAACTTCCTTCGACAACTACAAGATGTTACACAGAAAGACACCTTATTAAATGGTTTTGAATTGATTTATATAAATGGATCTCATTCGTCTCACGCTCTGAGTGGCATGGCTAATCTGTCATGACTTCGACGCCTCCGAAGTGAGAGTTCTTCAACTTGCAGAAGCTCGGTGTCGGTATGTCCGGAACATGCGGCGAGACCTCTGCTCAACACAGATGGGAACCAGCATTGCCGCAAATGGTTGGCAAAGCCTTCGCAAATTTCCTATGTTTCTTAATTCAAAAGTATCAATGAAAGCTTCCAAATGGCCTCAAAGAACTGAACATCCACTGGAAAACTGGCGGTTTTGCTTTCTCCTTAGCTTTCATTGTGTTCTGATCGTTTTGACATAAGTTTGCGGCATACGTGCTGCTGGACTCAGGCTGGTAGCTTAGGAGAGGTTTGCTCCTGGGCACCGAACAATGCGAACAATACGCCGATTAAATTTGCCATGACAGAGGTCGTCTGGACCTCAAAAAGAAAACCACCCATACCACGCAAAAGTAAGCAATAGCAAACAATAGCAAGGGAGGCACTGTCGGAGGCTCGGCAAGAACTTCAGGTGGATCTGGAGTCGTGATGGTGATGTAATGTAATATCTGGCTACGAGGCTTTACAAGCAAGACCTGTTCAAACAAGCTCTTGACAACTCACTCAACAGCGCTTGAAGCATACTACGATATACTACGTTTTCATTTGCTACGAATTTAAGAAGCATACTCTGTGCACAATTTTTGGCTACGTTCTTCTTTCATCGGCGCTCTTGCATCTTCATGCGACTGTCACATCTGTCCACATCTCACTCTCGTTATTCTATGATATTCTGTTATTCTATGTTATTCTATGTTATTCTCACAGGGTGGCGTTTCCGCTCCATTTCAATGTCCTCCCCACTGGAGCTGGGCACATTCGATCTCGATCCCTGAGAAAAACACGCCAGACACACAGTGACCACGCATGGGATGCCATTGCATTGCATCAGTTGCCAACCACATTGAAATGTTTGGCAATTTGACATGTCTTTCTCGTCCGAAAACGAACTTTGAGCCGGCTCAACTTCTATGTAAAAGGCTAAGAGTCAAGGCGCTACGGCGCTGACTCTTGAACCCTCATTCACTGTCAAATGCGCAGCAAAACTATGTACGTACGTGTATGACACATTATGACATCGTGTATGTAATGTATGTACTGTGTACTCTTCATATTTCTTTATTGCTCGATGTGCAAAGTATTGACAAATGTGATGAAACTCACAGTGCAAGTGGGAAGCTGCTGAAGTGACGTTGGGGATGGGTCCTCGGACGAGAGATGACGAGAGGGAAGCTCAAGGCAAGTGTACATCGAAAAGACATCAAATTCTTATCATCTAATCTACAGGATCTACATCACCTAGCTATCACATTCCCCTTTCTCATCTTTCTCATCTTTCTCATCTTTCTCATCTTTCTCATCTTTCTCATCTTTCTCATCTTTCTCATCTTTCTCATCTTTCTCATCTTTCTCATCTTTCTCATCTTTCTCATCTTTCTCATCTTTCTCATCTTTCTCATCTTTCTCATCTTTCTCATCTTTCTCATCTTTCTCATCTTTCTCATCTTTCTCATCTTTCTCATCTTTCTCATCTTTCTCATCTTTCTCATCTTTCTCATCTTTCTCATCTTTCTCATCTTTCTCATCTTTCTCATCTTTCTCATCGTTCTCATCGTTCTCATCGTTCTCGTCTTTCTCGTCTTTCTCGTCTTTCTCGTCTTTCTCGTCTTTCTCGTCTTTCTCATCTTTCTCATCTTTCTCATCTTTCTCATCTTTCTCATCTTTCTCATCTTTCTCATCTTTCTCGTCTTTCTCATCTTTCTCATCTTTCTCATCTTTCTCATCTTTCTCATCGTTCTCATCTTTCTCATCTTTCTCATCTTTCTCATTCAACATTTATGATATGATCAAATTGAAGAGACAAACAAGCACCCTTTGTATCCTGCTTCCAAAGGTTTCGTGGTTTCAAGGACTGATTTGGTGGCTCTTAAACGGAGCATGGGCATTTGCCACATGTCAAACATTGAAGAGGATACAGTACGAGTCAGTACGTTGCCAAGATTCGGAAGTTGCAAGTAATACACCAAACAGCATGCCAAAGACACCGAATCATAACTTATAGGCAATGTTGGCAATCATTGGCAATCATCCTTAACGATCCTCGATGTGCCTCTGAGGTGTCGCTCCACTGAGGCCCAAACCAATTTCGTGGCTTGCGTCTCCATGCGATGATGTGCCTAGTGCCGGGCTTGTCATCTGCGCATATCTGGGCATATCTGGGCCACACAGTTAGATCAAGTATCATCAAGTTTCAGTACATCTGAAGTTACATCTGCTCATCTTTGCAGTTCATCATCATCTCGTCCCCCGCCCCCGAAGGGTGGATTTGGGGATATGACTTGAAGTCATGCTGCGTCTTGTCCCCAAAGTTCGCATGACTTACTGCATCTTAGTTCCTCAATGTTCCTAAATGTTCCTCAATGTCATTGATGAAACCTGTACTTCTGAAACCTAGACAAACGTTCACATGATGTTTTGCATGTTTTTGCATCTCTTTTCACGTCGTGACGACGTGGCAATATATCGCTCTCTTCTCCGGTTTCTCCGGTTGCGCCTGCAGCAAGAGCTCGAAAGTCACATGGCGCTTCACTGCCTGGCAAGGCGCGCGACGTCTACGACGTCGACGTCCGAAATCGACCCAAATTCAAACTTGTCAAATCGACTCCCATCGACTTCGGGATTCCAAGGAGTCGGGAAAAGAAGCGTCAATACATGTCAAATACATGTCAATACTCTCTAGTGCTCTGTAGCGCTGTAAATGTGACCCAGCGCACGAGACTAGAATCCAGCGCCTCCAACATGTTGGTTTGCCGAATTCCTTTCTCAAAGACCAGTGGAGCGTGCGGATTATCCATTTCTTGCAAACCAAACCTGTCCCCAGCAGTTTGAACCAAACTGGAAAGATTCGGAAAGTCATAGCGCAACGCATTGAAAATCATTGACTATTGAACTAAGGCCAGGGATGGACTAACAAATTCAAAGGATTTTTCTTACTTCGTGTGAGGCGATGTCTCGCCTCGCCATGAAGTATGCAAGATTGCTGCCAAGCCCCTGTATGTCAGCCTGTACAAAACAATTCAACCGGTGTCTGCTTCTCCAATATCAAAGCAATAAGGAGCACAAGGAGCATCAAACTTGGCAATATCAAATCGGTTTCAGCAAATCCTTCCAAATCCAATTTTGCAATTCTCAAGTTCTTCAAAATCAAAGATGTGTAAAGTCACTCATTAAAAATAGCTGATTCTTAAACGATTTTCTAATTCTACTTGGCTAACGCCATTTGCTCTCTGACTCAGGCCTGGCATACGCGGATGGTTTGTCCCAGGAGTGGATGCTTCACATCTCTGAAGAACACATACGCAGTCCTGAGCCGTGCTAAAGCCGTGCCAAAGCAGGTACTAACTACATCTAACTACTATGCATTGGTGTCGGTTGCTAGCCCTCAAGAGTAGTCAAAGATAGTTAGAGTATGTTAGAGTCTAGGGCAAGAGATTTTGGAGCTGAAATATGCTGAAATGTTGCCTGTGCGCGCGCAACAAAACGTGTTGCTGAGACATTTTAAAATTAAGAAAATGCACGCCATTGTAAAAGATTATTGTGTCATGCTGCCCATGTCTCTTGATGTCAGCTGCTCAGTTTGCAATGATCAAGCCTATTCTAGCACCACCCTCTGAGACAAAGCTGATATGATAAATCAATAAACACACAAAACGAAATCATACAAACAAATACAAACACTATGGTGCTACAGTAGGACTTGCGCCTGCTGTTCTCCCCGAGACATTGGCTGAGCCCTGAGCTGCCGAGTCGTTGCCGAGACACTTCGCGCTTTCTGGATCTGTGAAGTTCACGAAAGCAAGAGCCAAATTGCGGAGCTTGCGCTTGTCATGCGGCACGTACACGAAATTGTATCGACCTGTGACAAGGTTGACAAGACTCAGGAATAGCCTCTGGTGAAGATAGAATCACACGAAATCCCTTGGAATCTGTTGCATTCTGTTGCTGTTGAGTTAGAAAAAAAATTGTGACATTTCCATCATTTTTCAATACAGTATTTGGTGAGAAAATCCGAGATCAGTCCAGTTCGGATCGCTCCGTTGCTGTGACCTGGCGGCAGGAACTCTTCCAAGACTTGGATCAAGGACTCTGCGGTAAATTTCGTTGGCAAACGCCTCTCGGGACACAGAAAGTCACATCAGAAATTGGAAATTGGATGAAATTGGCACAACATTGGCATGAAATTGTCACAGATTGTCACAGATTGTCACAGATTGTCACAAGATATCAGGTATCGCATTCACAGACCAGATCACAAGTGGCAGAGCCCCACAAGGGCAAGCTGCATCAAGCTGACACAGCCACAGTCCACACAGTCCACACAATCACGGACATTGGGCCATTGGGCCCTGATGGGCTGACCTCAACATGATGGCGGTCGCATCAGCATCCAGCTCTGTAGAGCAGTCCTCCTGCACAGCATTGCTGTTCTGATCTGTTCTGTGCTGCTTGATGCAATGTCTCTGTTCCCTTCCTTGCGATCAAAGGACTCCAAAGGTTTACGCACCTTGGCTCAGAGTTCAGCGCAAAGCTTTTAGCCAATAAACCGACTCCTAAAGTAAGCAACATCAGTACAATTTCTTGCGCGCCTTTCAGTCATCTGCCAGCACATCATAGAGGCATGCATGCACACTCACAATAGTTTAGCACTCAGGACGACACCTCTGCCAATGCACCGCCCCAATTGCTGTTATTGCGCAACTGCATCATTGCGCTTGTTCTCTGCGTGCCGCTGCGGACTATCAACTTTTTACCCCAAAGGACAGCAGAGTCCTTGCAAAATCTTGCAAAGTGAGAGTACACTCTGAACTTGCATCTGTGATTCTTTTAGGTGCATTAGTGACACGCGTCATCTCGGGCTGCATGCTGCAGGAGAGAAGCACATGGGAACAGTTTCAAGTGTCACCAAACCGTGATTCAAAAACCTCCTGGATTCACAAACATGCAATCGCCAGTAATTCATCATTTTTGGGTTGGGGGATATGTTTGATTCAGACTGCTCGCAACTCGAGCTCAACCTACACAACTTTAGCAAGCACAAATATTTTCTGCATGACACCACACAGAGATCAGTGAGACCTGAGATTCCGACGGCGGCGAGCTACAAGCCAACTTGATCGGAGACTCGAGCTAAAACTCAGCTGCGTCGTCCATTTCTTCACAAGGTGGCGTTGTCAAGTATACTCCATATGTAAGATTATGTGTATAATAATTATGTATATATATATATGTATATATATATATACAATATATACAACATATAATATATTATTAATATTATTGTCTACTCTTTCGGTCTCTGTTTAGGCTGTGGTCGGGCTCTGCTGGTACTCAATATCACTCGATCCATCTCAATCACGCAAAGCTCCACTCTGCGGAAGTTCACAGATTCTGTTGTCGAAGGTGGCGGGTGCAGTCGCACACGGTGCAATTTTCCGCTTCAAAGGTAACCAGCAGGAAACACCCTCGGCTGGCCCCTCAAACGTTGGCGCTGTTCTTGCAGCACCTCAGCTTTCAAGAAGCTGTTCAAAAATGGTTTCAACAAGTTCATAATTGTGGTGCCACTATCCATGCTGAAACGGTACAGTATGGATCGCGCAGGGAAAAGCACTGAGAGTCACTGAGACTTGTTTGATTAGCATCTGATTAGAATCATCTCCCCATAAGTTCTTTCTAAATTGGTTCTTCAATTCAGCACGGGGGCTCTGAAGTTCGATGCAATTTGCATCAGATGTTTCAACATGTTTCAACACGTCCAAATGAACTGTGCAAGGCTCTATTGAGCATTGCTGGATTCAGGCTCTTCCCAGAATAAAAAAGCAAAGCACTCTCAATCATCTTAATCAGGACTAAGTGCAGTTTCATACAAGTAGTATCCGGGCAAGTCGTTGGCAGAAGCTTACCTAGATAAGCACCAACACACCTGGATTGGATTTTTTTTTGGAAAAGGTATTGTCAGCGAGTGTGCTGTGCTGAGAATAATTCGGTCACAGCAGCTGCCGCGATCTTGTCACCACCTCCAGCCCCGTCCATACGCAACAGGAAGTCCGCAACGCCTACGGAAAAATTACGAAAAGGATCCGCCACGTAGGATGTAAAAGGCGGATCACAGGAGAGACAGGTGACACATGGTGACACCGGTCCAAGGACGGCAAGGACACATGTTTGAAAACTTTGAAAAACACAATACTTCACAACAAAAAAAGCCAAAGCTTTGCAGCGAACATAATCTCCTGGTGGTGGTAATCGGTCACCTCGCCAAGGTACCTTTGGCAGGCAAAGCCCGACGACGTTCATTGATGAACATGTTCCACATATATTCCACCTGTGAGTTTCACTGCAACATCCCACCCTGCACGGTGCTATGGAGCGCTAGAGATTTCGGCCAAAGGACGATGGTGACCGCCTTTCTCGGCGTGCCTCCTGTGGGCAGGCCCAAGGACACGTGAGAAAGAAACACGCAGCCAAACATTTTCAATTCCAAGCAGTTTTATAAATTCAAAATCAAATGCTCTGACGCAAACTAAATTCAGGGTGTCAAGATCAACTCGGAAAGGCGTGAAACTGCCAACACCATGCCATGATATTCCTCGGCCATCCTTAGCCCCTGTGCTAAACCTCAAGATACGGCCGGAAAAGCGCTGCGATAAATTGGATCAGCAAATCATATAAAAACATATAAAAACATGATCAAAAGAATGAAAAGGGTATAACCGGGCACAACTATCTAGAGTCTAGAGCCTTTCCAACAAAACACCAAGCGTTGCATTGTTTCCCTATGTTTCCCTCGTGAGACCATGCGCCTCGTGCTGCTTGGCGTTCAAAACGTTCGGGAATGGCATCGCGCCAAACATGATTTGCGCCCGCCAATGCCACGAGACGCCCACCAACGTCGTTGATGTAGGCCAGTGCCTCTGACATTGCCAGTGCCATCGTGCAGGCAATCGCCCAGTGATCAGTTTCTAAAGAAAACAGAATCACAAATGGTACTTGAAAGGTACTTGGAACATCTTGGAACATCTTGGAACATCTTGGAACATTGGAAACATCTTAGGATTCAGCAGGTTCATTCAGATTCGATCAGGCTTCACATTCCCTGCTTGCACCGAGGAGCTGTGTTGGCCATAAACTCGTCCCAAAGCACTTGAGCCTAGACGTGCCACAAGGTGTGCCATGAGACACGTTGATGGCATGAAACTCACTGTCTGATGGCTGACGTAGCTTCAGAAGCAGAACATATCAGGTGAATAAAACAGAGAACATCTCGCAGCGGGACACAGCAGATGTTCACGAAGTTCGCATCCATGGCAGCCGAGAGACTTGATACATGTTGTTCCTCAGTCCAAAGAGGGATGATGAAGGATGGGAAAAGACGGGGGGCTCTTCACTTCTAAGGCCCCTTTCTTGAGAAGCTGACCGGCTGCTCTAGCCCCCAATCCTTGTCCAAAACCTCCTGATGGCATCAAATAACCACATGGTCTATCGCCGTCTATGGCCTATGTTTCGAGCAAAGGCTGAGAAATGTTGTGGGCATTCTCGCTGTGGACGTTGTCACTCAGATCATCAGACAGTCATACGCCCGGTGCGTGGACAGACCAGAGTAATTGGACCGTTTGTTACCAGACCAATGGGTTTTGTTCAAATCTGGCCAGCATCTCTCCTCCGATCATTTGATAACACCACTATTCATCCTATTCCTAATTTCTTTCTCCCGGTTGCAGGCTGGGCCGTCCCACAAATGGATGTCTTTTGCTTCATCGGGTGGCTAGCCGAACAATAACAGTTGCTGTTGGAAAACCATTTCAGTAGCTGGCGGCAATAAAATAAAACTATTCAATTCGATCTTCGCAAAACTTCGGCATTGGAAATTCTTGACAGGTAAGGGCCAGGATGCGCAGAATACAGCGCAAACAGCGATTGTGAAAACCATCTAAGCGACAGCATTCAGCAGCGGAAAGGCATTAAGCAACACAAAGTATAGAACAATTTGGATTCAATTAAAGCTTGGTAAATTGCAATCTTACGCCTGGTTCTCACAGATTATTTTTCCAAACTTTTTCAAGTGCCAGAAAACGCAGAAAATCTGCTTTTGCACGACATACAATGACCAAATTCATGCCCCGGAACCGGGACCGTAAGAGAGAACTGTTCCAAGATTCGTCCCAGATTCGGCACCCGCGCACCATCAGGCGTAACAACTGTAACAACTCAAGCTTGACATTGCTTTTCGCATCTTTTCGCCACTGTTAATATGTTTGGGAAGGTCAATCTTAATTCAAATCATCACTTCCTCGGCGGGAAAAATCTGTAACCATCTGTAACCTGTGTCCAATGCTATGGCAGAGTCTCAATTTCTTCTTTGGCGACCACTCATCCACTGGCAAGCCCATCCTTCCAAAACCAGCACAAACAATAAACTGTCAACATTTGTACCACCATCTTCGTGTGGCCAACATGCCAATCATGAAGCAAGTCTGGTCTGACTTTGGATGCGAAAACTTGCTGGGATCCTTCTCACTTGAACTTGCTTCAGATTACTTTGGACTTGCACCACACATCGCAAAAGTCCATGGCAAGTCAGCACGTCATATACGTCATGCAGTTCACGCCTTCGCACTGCATCCTGCAGCGGCATTTGCAGCCTCGGCAAACGCTTGGGTGTGGGCAATGTGAAGCAGACCTGGGAGCCTTTGCTGTGAGATACAGTAAAACCAGCAGACCCATTCCATGTTGCCTCTCACATTCAATATCATTCAATCCTCCATGAAATGTATTGGAACATGACTCAAGTCCCCCCAGTTTTTTCAAGTTCATCAGCTTAGCATGCTGAGCATAGCATGCTGAGCATGCATAGCATGCATAGCTTTTATCACTAGGCTTAGTTACTTAATGTTACTTAGTTCATCAGAGCGTCATATCTTCAAACCTGCGGCGGTGCTTCTGCTGTGTGAGATCCAATGGCGGCAACTGCTCCCGCAGCCAATCCGGAGCCGAATCCAGGCCACCTCCGGCGCACGGATTGGAGTGGCTTCCCAGACGACAACGTAGAGATAGATGCGATATGAGTTGAATTGAATTAATATAGATTAATATGATAGATAGATTCACAACGATTCAAAATGATAGATAGGAAAAAAATGAAAACAGGTTTTGAAGGAGAAAACTGATACAATATAAAACAGATAAAACGGGTCTAAGATAGGCTAAGATGGTCGAAGCAGAAATGTTGCGTTCACGGTTCACGCGATTTGACATATTTGGGCACCTCGAGAGACGGTGAGCACCGCCTCGAGCGGAAGGTTGAGTCCAATGATTCGATTCAGATTAAGCTGGCCTCGCATTTCGGCCCGGCACTATGATCACATGATCACTATGATCACTATGATCACTATGGCATCTGCATGGCATCTGCATGTGTCGGTTGTGAACTCAGTGAAGCTCAAATGATCTGCTTGATCTCACCAGAACCAAAGTTCAGGGTGAGAAGGTTGGGTTGTAGTGTGCCAAGAAGCAGAAGCGAAACAATGGAGCGTAGATGTCCCAATCCTTCAGCTGAAAAACAAAAACAAGATGGATAGATTTGGTACAATAAAGACTCAGAACGACCAATCGAGAAGCCGTTCGCTGAGCCAAGCAATGCCAAACGAAACCTGCGTGAAGCTGCATGACTCTGGACGGAACCGTCTAAGGCCACACTGAACTCCGGACGTAAGCCCAAACTCGATCCCAGTCGCAAGCTTCCCTCAGTCGTTTGCCGCACCAACGATGTTCAATGCTTGCAATGTCTTGATGACCAAAACCGGTATTATTGGTCTTGGGATGGCTTCTGTCTACTTCTGTCTACTTCTGTCTACTTCTGTCTACTTCTGTCTACTTCTGTCTACTTCTGTCTACTTCTGTCTACTTCTGTCTACTTCTGTCTACTTCTGTCTTCCACCGATCTTGCCAAGGTTGCTGGATTTTCTCAGTCGCCACTAGGTCTCTGGAGACTCTAGACTCCAGCCCACCATGCAATTCCTCATATCACCAGAACATAATGACGTAGTGAAAGGTCCTGCAATGTCTTGCAAGTAAGGCTCCGAAATTTGGAGGGGCTGCTGCCCAGCCCGTCTTTGCTCTTGTCAAAGATCAGACTGTCCAAGGTCGGCTGCTGGCGCCGGGAAAAGTATTCCTCAAGTGACCCATGGTGCAGCACTTGACTTTGACTTGATCGGTGACCGGTGACCCACATTTCATACAACACTCTAGTCACTAGTCCTTCAAATGTGTTTACTGACACAACTCCTGTTCTATACTACACTTTTCAAAATTCAACAAGCCTCAAAAAAACTGAAAATCAAGTTTCCATCAAAGGGCCCCGGACATCCCTGGACAAATTCAAATGAAAACACAAAAATATCTTCTACTCAAAAGCGGGCACTGCCCCAGCTGCGATACTTTTCAGTCTGCTCCACTGACATGGCCACCAAGACAATGCAAAGAGAAATAAAGAGAAATAAAGAGAAAATGTGTCACGGACTCGGGCCGCACGAGCCATGAATCGCATCCTTACCCCATCACATGCTTCGCATGCTGATGTTGCAGCTGATGGTCTACGCCAACTGCCACCCTTTGTGCAGATAAGTTCCTGGGCCACGAAGGAGGTCCACATCAAAACGCAGAAGCCGAGACACAGAGAGACAGACGCCGAGAAAAAGGCTGAGACATGTGAACTCAGCCCTGAATTTCTGACGCACATTTGCATCATTGCATCATTTGCATCATTTGCATCATTTGCATCATTTGCATCATTTGCCTGAACTCCATTAGAACTCCATTTTGTTTTTTTTATACTCTTTCATCTCTCCCTCGCGATCTCGAAAACTCAAGGTTTGGCCAAGAACCTATGCATCCGTGGTATCGTATTTAATCCGTCTACAAATTGGGGAGGGATCGCAGTTTTACCTACGGTTGGTGTCTCCTATTGTTTCTCTTGGAAAGCCTTTTCGCACCACTCAATGGCATAGGATTTTGCCATCGCCAAGTTTCTGTGGAGTACGACCCCGTGGTGCAGACGCATCAACCCCTTCAGACTGCCGAAGCTCCAGGAATAGTTGGTACCTGAGCTCCACGATCTAAATCCCATGGCACACCTTTCGGAATCTTTCGGACCTTTCCAGTGATGGATCAAGAGATATCAAGCGATATCAAGAGACACATTTGCCTCGAAGCTACCAGATCTACCGGATCCTTTTCACATCATTCTCTCTTCGCTCTGCTTCAGACCTGGACCGTGTACTTAGATGCAAGACCTGTAAGATGTACTCAGATGATCTCAGATGTACTCAGTACTTGCCAATCTTGCCATGAGCCCGTGAGGCCGTCAGGCTCATAGATCCCCAAACCATGGATGCCACCATGGCTCGTCAGCGCGTCAATCAAGAGTCTCTGCATGGCGTGATCTGCTGCCGAGTCATGAATCTCCCCAACCTCATAGCCAGGATCAGCCAGGATCAGCCAGGTGGTCAAAGCCCCGGAATCTTGGGAACTTTGGAGTCCTTTTGGAGGCCTTTTGGAGGCCTTTTGGAGGCCTTTTGGAGGCCTTTTGGAGTCGAAGTTCAGTCAGATCTGCTCACACCTTTGTGTTGAGTTGCACAGACCAAATCAGCGTCATACCTTGGACCCGCAAAGCCATTGCAACTTGAAGCGGTTCGGCATTTCAGGCATTTATAGAACATTATAGTCTATTATAGTACATATATGTTATATATCACTGATATCACGTGGCACATCACTTTGCTAATCTTTACCTCCTATGCCACACTTCGTCGCCTCACAATGCCATGTGCGCCAAGGTACAGCAGACTGCCAGGACAGAGCAACTGCGGCAAAGCCAGGGATTGGCCGCTCTTGCCATCCACAAGCTTCACCCCTTGTTGCAACTCACCTGGGCGTGAAGAATCGTGAAGAATCGTGAAGAATCGTGAAGAATCATGAAGAATCGTGAAGAATCGTGAAGAATCGTGAAGAATCGTGAAGAATCGTGAAGAATCGTGAAGAATCGTGAAGAATCGTGAAGAATCGTGAACTTGAACATCTTGGAACATTTTGGAAGATGTGCGAACAGAAGGACGAACAGAAGGGCGAATGTCAACAAGATCAACGTGTCCACAAGATCCGCAAGTGCACACAGTGAACACGCATGATACCGTATGTGATTAGACTAGATGTGCGTAAAAACTGACAAAAACCGCTTCACGGATGAAGATGTGTGAGCCTGGGACAACCTGAATGACCTGGGTTTTCTGTTTCCGCTTCCAGATTGCCCCACTGAACTGACAGCATGTCAGGTCATGCGGACTCTCTGAAATGTATGTGTGATGATTTTTTCTGAAATCCCAGGTGTCCAAACCCAGTTTTTCAGAAAGACTCTTAGGTTTGAGCCTCTTGCCCTTTCAAACAGAAGCACCCTCTCGCTCTCCACATTGTGCGCATGTGACGTTATTCCAAAAGTACTAGATTTTGGAATTCCACTGCACTTGATGGAAAATGTTTAAGATACAGCTGACATGTCAATGCAATCTGTGCCTCCAAGTGGCGGATGAGTCTTACTTCTGGATCATCAAGCAATCTATGCGCCTGAGGCTTTCCCGCAAACTGCGCGTTGTATGTAAAAAACATTCCCGGGGACCTCACCTTTTCCGCGTAGTCGGAGTCATCCTAGCAGCCATGTTGTGATGGGAGCACCAAAGGATCGGATCTTAGCCAAGTGCAGACGTGTGCAAATATGACACGTCACATACACACACACATATATATATATTTATTTATATAAGTATATGTAAAAATATATACAGTATATATATATATATGTAAATGTACATGTATATGCATATGTATGTGTATATGTAAAAAAAAATATAAATATGTAAAGGTAGATGTATATGTACATGTATATGCAAATGTACATGTACATATATATATATGTGTATGTGCCTATGTAAATATATGTGTATATATATGTATATGTATACGTATATGCATATGTATTTGTATATGTAAATGTATGTGTATGTATATATATATGTATATGTATATGCACATGTATATGTATATATATGTATATATATATGTGTATAAATATAGATATGTATATGTATATGTAAATATATATGTGTATAAAAAAATATGTGTGTATATGTATATGTATATGTAAATACATACATGTATATGTATGTGCAAATGCATTTGTATAGATGTATGTGTATATGTATATGTATATGTATATGTATATGTATGTGTATACGCATGTGTATACGCATGTGTGTGTATATGTATATAAATATATATGTGCATTTTTTATGTATGTGTATTTGTATATATGTATATGTGTGTATGTATATGTATGCGAACGTGTATAAGTAAATGTATGTTTATATGTATGTGTATGTTACTGTGTATAAGTATATGTATGTGAAGGTCTTTTGATTTATGTATATGTATATGTTTATGTACATGTGCATGTATATATATATATGTAAATGTATATTAATATGTAAATGTATATGTAAATGTGTTTGCATGTATGTATGCATGTATGTATGTATGTATGTGTGTATGTATGTAAATGTATATATATATATAGATGTGTATTTGTTGATGTGTCAATGTATATGCATGTGTGTCTGTATGTGTATATGTATATGTCTGTATATGTATGTGTACATTGCTATATATATATATATTTGTATATATATACACACTATTTATTTATGTTTGTATATACATATGTATATTTACATATACATATACATATATTTACAATTATTTACATATATATATATATGTATTTGTTGTTGTGTATATAAAAAGTGTGCTGTCATGGGTGTTCACAGACAAAAGATGAAATATGTGGAAAGCCAAAGTCTTCTGAGTCAACATATGCTGCACATTGTTTTCACATATATCGCTGATCACGCCACCGACTTGTCCATGTTTCATCACTGTTTCATCACGCACTGGCCTTGACCTCCGCACTTGCTCCAAGTGGAGCTGCACCAAGCATGCCTGGACACGGTACGGTGACCACGTGACACGATGTGACATGGTCAAAGCCCTGAAACATTTGGCAAAACGATACGAAACGTTGAATTCCCTCATGGCAAAACATTGCAAGAAATGGCAAGATGTAGCAAAACATTGCCAAATCCCATGCCGGTCTGTCAAGTTGCACTTCACTTGGACAAACATCTAGATTCTCCTTTGCCAAATGCCCTTGAAGCCATCGATTCATTCTAAGTTTGCCATTTTCCCTTACTTGGTTAGTTGAAGCTCTTGCGGCACAGTAGCCCAGGCGGACCCACGTTCTCCGATGGGCTCGACATGAAGTGCCTCTGTTTTGGTTCAACACGGCGCCGACGTGGGATAGAAATCACATTGGCAAGAAACCCCAAACAGCGTGGGGGGCAGGAAGTCATTGTACCAGATACAAGCAACGGTAGCTATGGAACAATAACAGGTCATCTTAGACGATACCGTAACTGCAGCAGCAGGAACTTGTTTTGGCACAAGAAGCAACGCTATGTCTACTCATCAGGACCTCACACCAGAACCTCATATCAGCATCTCAGAGAATTTCAGAAGATTGTCAAAGAAGGGCCTTCTGTATTATACAGAGGATCTTAGAAGATCTTCATGCAAGAACTTGATATGAGCATCCCAGAAGAACTTTCATGCAAGCACCCATGCAGAGCATATTCAAGAGCTCAATGCACGGACAAGGATCTCTACAAGATCTTCTCACAAGGACCTGTACGAGATCATGCACAGACACCTAAAGGATTTCACCAGAACCTTTTCAAGATCTTCGCACAAGGACCTGTACAAGATCATGCACTGCAAGGACCTCTTAGAGGGTTTCGCCAGGATCTCGACAAGATCTACTCACAAGAAATTGCGAAAGACCTTGACCAAGATCTTCATGCCAGGACCCCCAAGAGAATCTCGCAAGATCGTGATAAAAGGACCTGCAGCTGCTGGAGCCTCCCACAAGAGCTTTCATACAAGCAACTGTGAGACATGGCATCTGCAAGGTCTTCATGCAAGGACCTCGTAGAAAGGATCTCACTAGGATCTCCACAAGACCTTCTGTAAAGGACCTGTACAGGATCATGCAATGACCTCTTAGAAAGGATTTCACCAGGACCTCGTCAAGATCTTCACACAAGGACCTGTAAAAGATCATGCAAGGACCCCTTAGAGGATTCATCAGGATCTTCACAACACCTTCTCACAAGGACCTTTGCAAGACCTTGGTGAAGAGCTTCATGTATACTACGGACCTCTAAGACTCTAAGACTGCACCATGAAGCCTGTGCAAGATCGTGATAGCAGGAAAGATTGCAGAGAATTCATAAGATTTCCCACGCCTGCCACACGAAATGGACATAGAACTTTTATGCAAGAATTTACAGTGAAAAAGCCGGGGGCTAGATGGAGCACCCTGATCTAAGCCCGGCCATTAACACCTACCGCAAGAACCCCTCAGTGTGGACAGACTGTTTGGGGAAATGAAAAATTTCTTTCAACTTATTTCTTTGATTTGTTTGCATCTGAGTCGCGAGTTTTGCAAGTCCTTCGATGCCAAAAGATTTGCAAGAACAGAAGTGAATCTGCAAAGTTTTGCACGTATCACTGAATCTGCACATATCAGACCGTATCGATGCAGTTTTGTTTTCTCAAGCATACTGGGCACCACAACACTTACAGTGTAATCTATTATGTATACAAACATATCTGTGCTTTCAGCCTTTGTGCCATGTACTTTATGAAACAGTTCCCCGAAACTTGCTTGACCTTTTTCCCGGATGTTCAAAATGTGTTCGTTCATATCATAAACCCACAACAGTGCATCTTGCAACACCGCACGCACAAGACTCTTCTCCAAACAGCCAAGTCTCTTCGCTGTTCTGCTCACAAGTGAGACAGTTGAGACAGTTGAGACGGTCGACAGAGTCGAGACTGCAGCGAAAGCGCGGCCTCAAACGCTCAGAATCTGTTTACGTCTTCGTTTGATTTTGCGTGTCTGTTTGCGTCTCTTCATGTGGCTTCAGCTACTTCGGCATCTCCCAAGAACTCTGTCACTGCAGTGCTAAGGATACACATAACGAAGATATCCTATAAACCGCTGCTCAAATTTGGCTACTCCCTTCACACTCTTCCGATCAATTGATTATCTATTTCAGCCACCGATTCACGCAGCAAGTGGTGGTCAGGCCCTCAGGCGGTCTTAAAAACCGTGAAAGCGTCCCAGAGCGGTTGTTCCTCGTCTCGGGCTTCTTGGTCTTGCTCTTGGTTGGACTTTTTGCTCCTGGTGCAGTGACTCACAGAGATCCCCATACCACTGAATGCCATAGTCACAGTTCAGTAAGAATCCACAGTTCAACTATGTTCAAAGATTTTCAAAGTGCCCGTTGACATCCATTGCGAACATGTCTTAACTGACACGGAATCTTGCAATCTTCCTGACAAGCAGCGTGCCAGGTTGACAGAGGACTCTGACAGAGCATCTGACAGGTGTTTTTCTGTGGCAAAGCCGCAAAGCCGCAAAGCCCTATTGCAGTTTTCAAAACATTGCTGATTTGCTTGCAAAACACACACTAGGACCAGGAGATATCACCCTCTTGTCGACCTTTTGCATATGTTCACACAGCCGGCCTATGAACTGTCCTTTGTGGTGCGACTGCCTGAAAGGTTCTTGAATTAATCCTGCCTGAAGAGTTAATTGTTAGTACTTACCTTTCCGGAAGTGAAGCTTCAAGCGCCCAAGTTGAGCCACTTGGAAGTTGCGAGATGTAGGCAACTCCCCCAAATTTCTGCTGGCAGGCCAAGACTCAAATGGATATCGACAGACATGAACAAGGTGCTTTCTTTTTAACTTGTGGTGGAAATCATGACTCAAATCTTGTTTCAAGACAGTTTGCGTGGCGACCTTTTTTTTCTTCAATGTGAACCCATGTGACCCACGTGATGTGCTTTGGAACACCTTGGAACACCTTGGAATCCGAAGGATGCCGAAGGATGCCGAAGGATGCCGAAGACATGTCCAAAGGTTTCGGCCGTTGCTGGACCTCTGAGCTCCAGAACCAAAACATTGCTCCATACATTTGATTAACGCTTGTCACTCATAATTGTCCACAGCCATTGGCAATTTGGCAAAAACGCAACGATAACCAAAAATGAATAGTGAAGAAATTGTGAAGATAACTAATATAACTATAATTACATAACTTATACACGACCAATAGAACACAAAATAGAATATGGAATCTGAATGAATATGATAGAATTTATAAGATATATATATATTATTATATATTTTATTAAATATATAACACTTAATGTAACGAATCTGTACAGTTGAAGCTCTCAGACCCGTCAGACCCGTGCCGAATTAAGAGCAAGCCCAGTCCCGAAGCCATCAGAAAGCACTGCAGGAATCGGCACGCTGAATCTGATGCTTTGGAGATTTTGGGAGTCTCATGGAGTCTCATGGAGCCTCATGGAGTCAAGGAAAGTTCAGACTCCAAAGAGACTTTCTTTGAGAAAGGCCTACACTGGCACGTTAAGACAGGGCGCCAGATTGCTACATGCCTCAGCAGAGTGCTGAGCTACTAAGCTACTAGAACACCCAAGCAGATCGAGATGCGACCACACTTGGGCCCTCAACGTCAAGATCTCCGAATCTTGGCAAGGCCAGCCCGAATCTACACAAGAAGGGCTTTCAGGCAGTCGGAAGTCGGAAGCCACTACATCACTGGACTCAAAAAATGAAGCACAGTGCTGCATGAGTTCGGACAAACTGCTCAATGACTGGCTTCAATCGAGCGATATCAGACATCTGACTGGGAGCTCAATTAGCTTCAGGGCATTCTTGCTGGCTCACTTTCCGGTTTAGTTTTCTAGACTTTCCACACTCTGGCACAGCTCGCTTCATTTTTTGGAGGTCCGGTTGCTTCCCAAGTGAATTGCCCAAGCCTTCCACATTCCAGCCGATGGTGAAGTTCTTTGCTGAGTGCCAATATTTGCCTTCGTGCTGCGCCTAAAACTATACTCTTTTGCATGGAATGTAATCCTCAAATGGTTCAAGTGGGCTGACTTCCATCTGTCGCTTCATGTGATGTGACAAGGAAATACAAGCAGTATGATTGAATGTGAAACCTTTTGTGTGTGTGTGATGGTATGCAAACCTGTACACTAGAGTCTTTGTATACGATACTGTACCTAAAATAATCAAGCAAACAGGTGTAAAAGAGGGCGGATTGCGGGGCTTGGCTAAAAATTCAGGGCACTATGTCCTCAGCAGTTCCCGGAACCTGCCATGCAGAAGCCCAACAAAGCGCCAGGTCTTTCGGGAAGCTTCGACATGGGCAAGGTGCTGGGACTTTTAGTACTCAACATGTACTCCAGTTCTTTGATGTTCTTTGTTTTTCTCCAGTTCTTTTTGTTTCTTGGAATGTTTGGCTTCTCTCCTTTGCTTTCAAGACAAGCTGGCATATAGCCTCTCAACGAAAGTCTCTGCAATCAAATGATTACTTGATGTATCTGTCTCTATGATAATATCATATGTATATATATATATATATATGTGTGTGTGGGTGTGTGTGTGTGCATAGAGAGAGAGAGAGGAGAGAGAGAGAGAGAAAGAGATACACATAAATATGTGTATTTTATGAATAACCTGCAACATTAAAAAAAAAAAACAAATCGTATCTGTCTTGAAGAAAAACGGCCCATTCGCATGGTCCCTTCCTGCCAAGCACACCACAAAGAGAGGTGACCACGTGGTGCTCTCTTCGTCTCGGTGTCTTGGCGTGTCAACGGTTTAGTTTTTCCGCAGTTCCCGCAGTGGCCTTACAGCGAAAAGCCTGTTGAGGCACGCAGCCTCGGGGTGGAGACAACCAAAAACATGGGAAAACGCTTCGGAAAACGCTTTGGAAAACGACATAAATCGACGACGCAGAATGCCGGCTAGTGAGGCTAGTGCAGAGGAAGAAGATCCAGATCTGTGCAGCATGTCCACAAAATTGACAGAAATTATATGACTTCAGGCGCCAACACTGTTGCTAGGAGGGGAAGCGCGTACAATGGCTCAAGCAAGACCTGACACGCCCAATTTAAATCACTTTGACATACGGCTTGGCAATTTGTTTTTTGGTCTTTTGAAAGGAAACCGAGCCTTAAGTTGTCAAATAGACCTCTTCAGCCCAACATGCAAGTGCAGGTCGAAGGAGTATTCAGTTTTGCACGAAATCTGGTTCAATTCCCTGAAAGGTGCAAGATGGTGCAAACGATGCGAGCCAAGGAAAACCAATGATCAAGCATGGAATATCCGTGAGATTCCTTGAGGATCAATTCGTTACTGTTTGATGTTTGTTTCAATTTGAAGCGCGGTCGTTCAATGTTTGACACCTGGAAGAGGCTGCGTGGCGTTTCGCTGGTGAATCCCATCGAGCAAAGGCCTCAGGCGGACTCGGAATGACTCGGACCGGGTAACACCGGGCAACACTCGTTGCAACGACTTTAGGCACGGTACGTTTGTCTCGTTTGTCTCGTTTGTCTCGTTTGTCGTGTAGCTTTGACTTTTGACTTTCACATGACAAGAGATCCAAAAAGAGATCCGAGATGCCAAAGGTCTGAAGGAGCTGCAATGGAAGCATCCAGTTTCAGCATCATTAAATCGATCATGTATACATTGAATCCTCATTGTATGTGTATTATATAGATATATATATATACGTATATATTATATTTATGATTATTTATGTATGTATGCATGTATAACTGTATAACCTTAGACTTAATGTCAGAGATGTTGAAATCACAGGCTGGGCTCATCTTTTCGAGTCTTGGGGCTCTGGCCGCAAGCCACATGAACGGCAAGGAAATGTGGCCGCAGTGGCAAATGAGCCTCGTTAGACAACTTCACTGACACTCTTTGAACCCGGTGAAGCACCATGACACGTTCAACGGCTCAACGCTTTCCAACAAAGACTCATTTTGGAAGCTTGAACACACCTACGGATCCTACGGGGGCAACATCCAACACTTGAAACTGGCTGAAGGCCCTGGCCCGTTGCATAATGAGGATATGCAAAGATAGGCTGGCTGCTTGGAACAGCAGTAGTAGCTGCCTCACGACAGGCCGACAGATGCCGACAGATGCCGACAGCACATGGCAGCCTGGTGCTCTGCCGAGTCGCCCGTGACGCTCAAGGGACACTCGAGTCAAATCACGACATCGGCCTTGCCCTCCGTTGGCCCAGGCCAGAAGCCAATGTTACCACCTGGCACTGCTCAAAGCTGCCCTAAGAAATCTAAGAAATCTATAGAAATCTAAGTCAATGCAGGGTCAATCCAGTTTCGAGTTCAGCATGTTCAACCTGATACAAGATTGGCAGATCTACCCAGCACTTCACTCAGAATTCCAGTGCCGCAACACTGTCCAAGCAAAATCGAATTCGGCTACTCTTCCCTAGACATGGCTGACCTATGCTGACCTGGGCCTCAAGATCTTCATCAACGTCTCGAATGTCTTGAAGCTGCTCCACCGTCAACGCCACTGAAAAGATCAGCAAAAGCCTAAGTGCTTGATCAGTTCCATATGTGCCATAAATTATCAGTATAACATATACTGTAATATGACATGCGGTATAACGGTATAACCATATAATACTGTATAACGGCACAAAATCGCACACAAAGCTTCGTTTTAACAGATCGAAGCATTGGCGATGCTGTAGCCATCTGTCGCCTGAACATGTATCATCAAATTCCGATTACACAGGAAGAGAATGTTGACAAAGTCCGCAGTAGGCTTTCAGCTCCGCGAAAGAGTGCTTTGGTGTTAAAATGGCTCGGGACAGAAAGCTTGATGGTCTTAGCATGTCTTAGCATGTCTTAGCTCTGGACAGTTGCCAAAATGTGGCACCACCCAGGGAACTCAGCCTTTGCGCTCAATGCCAGTTCAGCAGTCATCAGCTCTTCACTGGCAGATGGCAAAAGGCTACACCGAGAAAAGGCCCTGGCAGCGTCGGTGCATACGCGCAGGGTGCAGCAACCGCCATGAAGACGACGCAAATTGACACGTAGAAAGCCTCGTGCAGTCCCAAACCCCCATGGCGAATACGCATGGCCACATGGTCATGGTCAATCTAGAACTGGATCCAGAATTCAATCCAAAACAGCCAGCAACAGCTGCTTTTTGCTGGCCCATTCCCTCCGAAAGGTGCTGCGAGGCCTTGCAATAGGGCATTCGAGGCTTTAGTTTGGCGTAGGCAGCGCAAAGCAGAACATGGCCTGCCAAAAATTTATGAAACTTCAGATTCGATCCAATTCGATCTGCTATTTGCCCCTAGCCAAACCTTAAGCTGGATTCTCAACCTCTGTGTGAACGAACTCTATGTGAAATGTCTGTGCGTGATGCGCCAGGCACGGAATCCAATAATTAGTTACTTGCCAATTACTCCTCTGCAGAACGATACATGTACATAAATTCCTGTTTACTAGTAGAGTTTTGTACAAATTGCTGTCTTCAAATTTCACCTTTGCGTAGACTGATTCTCTTTCCGCCTGATTTTGCCCCTCCATAATCATTCGAACAGCAGGGTAGGGCCAACGGCCGTAAGTCGCGAACTAAATCGGCTTTGGCAAAAAAAAAACTGTGGCACATCTGCATGTTTTTCTTGCTAGGAAGTTGCGAACGAAAAACTTCTTTTCCAATGAGGTCCCGTATGTTGGTTGTTTGCAGCTGATACCCTGCCACTAAGTCCAAGTCCTCCCTTGGGCGGCACCTATGAAAGTCAAAGACACGATCCACGAGCGAGCTGCTAGCCTCGCCGAGTCAGCATCTCAGAGCAACAAAGACTCTACTAGTTTTGCTGACAAAAACATGAAATCCACTTTGTCCATAGCTTCATATGCTTCATTCTGTCTCACATTCTGTCTCACATTCTGTCTCACATTCTGTCTCACATTCTGTCTCACATTCTGTCTCACATTCTCTGTTCATTCTCCGTTCATCATCCGACTTCGCTTGCAACACACGTGCAACACACGTGTTCATGATCTGGCACATCTGGGGGGTCCAACAGGCTACTTGCCAGTGCCAAGATTGACACAGCCAGCAGGGCTCGCAGCAAAAAGAGCCGGCGATGAAAACAGCCTGGCATAGGCAGCTTGGTTCAGCATCCTAAAGGTACATTAGATATATAATAATGATGATAACTATCATAATGATAATAATAAGAAGAAGAATATCAATAAAGCATCTGTCTCCAGATCTATATGAAATTATCTGGTCAAATTATAATATTTCAGGGTCTTTAGGTCGAATTTCGCTATTTCAAACTGAAATATGGTGATGTCGCGAAAATCGCAAAAATTTTCTGACGTCGTGAGACTAGGATGAAAGCAGGCACTCTGACAGGCGCTTCTTTTTTTGCTCATCGGTGGCATCGCTTGGCTAAAGTCAAGTCAGAGACAAAATTGTCCTGCTGCGGGCTGTTGAACGGAGCCTCTTCACCAGTCTCTTCCTGCGAGGCCGGGAAGTCGCAGAAAACTGCCGGCTAGTCAGGGGAATCGAGGCTACTTAGGGGGGAATCGAGCCCAGGAATTTCTAACGACGTCGTTGTCGTTAGAAATTCCTGGGCTCGATTCCCCCCTGGGTAGCCTCGATTCCCCCCTGGCTTGCCGGCAGAGACTTCCCGGCCTCGCAGGAAAAGACTGCTAAAAGGCCTTTCAACAGCCCGCTGCTGCAGGACAGTTAGTTTGGGATGGAGTCGAACCATGCAGTCTTAGAATACTACTTATGGGGACTAACGATGATTGTTGTAATTCTTGATTTGAGGTGTTGTAAATACGCACCCCCTTAATTTCATACGAGTGTGTTGAACAATACTGCGTGCTGGGATATACTAGTCGGATAGTGGGACCAGTGATAGTTGTTGTAATTCTTAACTTGGGGTAGACATGAAAGACCTTATTTCAGCAGGTTAGGTCTAATTTCACGGTGACGTCGGGTGACGTCGCTATAATTTGGGCAGAATTATATAAAGAATAACTTTACACATATAATTTCATATAATCATATAAATATAGATTAATATAGATATACGTAAAGGTTTCAATGGTTTCTGCCAAATTTCCTCAGCATCTTGCTCTACCACAGATCATGACCACTTTCACAAACACGATCTGCGGAATCGGCTGTAATGGAACATCTGGAACGGTTCACTGCACCAATTGCAAGGCTGGAATGCCAATCGCAACAGAACACGAAGGATACGAAGGTCTGGATCGAAAGATTGGAGTTGTCTTTTTGGCTGTTGCCATGCCTTGTCGAAAAATCATCTTGTGCTCTCCTCAAAAACCAGCAAGTCGACTACCCCTCAATCTTCAAACAGGACGTCATAGAAGTCAGTCATGCAATTTATCGCAATTTTGATGTGTGCAGTATCATACAGTCTCATGAGGGGTCGTTGTCCAGATCTTCTCAACTCATGTTCCTACCTCGTGCAAACGTGAGTTCAGCTTAGGTACAGGCAAGAAATTGAAGCCCTGCTACAAGCTTTAAATAGCTTGAAGCTGCAGTCAAGGCAGCAGTATACAGCTGTCAAGGCACCTGTGCTTTTGGTTGCTTTGCTGATGTCGCGCCTAAGACTCGCTGCTAATCGAGTTGGGGAGTTTCGGTCGAAAAGTCAGATTTTCCAAAGACAAAGTCAGCAGTTGCTACTCATGAAGTCACAGGTGGAAGTCACTCAGCATCTGCATATGTTGACAACATTTGACAACTATTACTAATATATGAGTACTCATATGTTGCACATCCAAAAACTGTCTGCTTGGGCTTGGATTCAGATGGATTCAGCATATAGTTTATGTTGTTTATGTTGTTTGATGTTGTTTGATGTTGTTTGATGTTGTTTGGAGTAGAAATCGCGAACTCCCACTTTCATTCTGTCTTGATCAGACAATGGTCGTATTCCAAGGTATTCCAATCCAAATTTGCTGCGACAAAGGCGCAAATGGTCTAACGTGTAGACTGCTATGCTTTCCGAAGCCTCAGAAAAAACGCAAGTAGTACCAGCAAAGCATCAGATAAGCATCGGTGGAATATGGTGGAATATGGATGAATATGGTGGAATAGAGAAACTGCTGTTGCACTCATGCTGCAACACTTCTTGCATCTTCTCCGTGCTCTGAAACTTTGCCCTGTGCTAATCTAGACATAATTGTTGCGTCTTTGTTGTGTCTTTGTGTCTTTGTGCTTGGGCAACCCGCAGCTGCCCAGAAGGGTCGCCTGGTGCAGCTTGAAAATCGACAAGTTAGAGACTTTAGGCAACAACATGCAACAACTCTTTTTCATTTTTTTCCATGGTATGGTTTTTTGAAGTCTTTTGATGTCTTTGAACCAAGTGAGGCTCCTTTTATGACTGCAGTACATGAGAACATGGGCGCAGCAAATGGGAGCGGCAAAACGGATCAAAATGGTGCATCCCAATCATCGACCCCCACACGTCGCAGTCAAAAGTTTGCCATTGGCGCAGGGGCGCACCCATCGATCTTCATCCCGCATTCCAACTGCACAAAGGGCACAAGACTGGCAAGGCCTCAACAAATCTCAATGGATCCTAACAGATCTCAACAAGGCATGTCAAGTCAAACCACCAGTCATGTTGGTGTCCATGAAGCGGCTCAAAGACGAGGCTTGTTGGTCTTGAGCGTCTGGCTGAAAGACATCCAGAGAGTGGTGTACACCTCACGAGTCTCACGAGTCTCTCGAGTTTCTCGAGTCACTTCGGCGATTTCACATGGAAAGCTGATCGGGGGAGCGCACCAATAGCTCCAAAAAAGCATCGGCAGTGCTCCAGACCTCAGCGAACGTCCATCGATGTCAAGAAATGTCGAGCAGTTGAGCATCTGCGGTATTCTATCAGAACCTGTTCGTTGAATCCTAGCCCCGCAACAGTTCATAGCTATGTCAGCTATGTCTTTGCACATGCTTCATTTGTCATCATCGAATGCTATCCAAAACTTGCAGTGGCTGAGAATTTCAGAGCCCTTGTCCTTTCTATCGCGATGCCATGCGATGCAAAAGTTCTGCGGCCGAGTGCCTTTCGTCCGAGAGCCACAGGCATAGCATCAGGCATTGGCTGACCAGGTGACTGCCTGAGCGCAATCTAGGCAGAACGACGAAAATGACATTGGCACTCCACTCGACATTCCTAATATCAAACAGAAACAAACATCAAGCTCAAAGTAAAGTATGTAAAGTGTGAATTCTTTTTGATTCTTGAACATTCGTCAATATTACGTAGTCTTAGTCGTGTAAAGATTGAGAGGATTGAACAAAGTCATGTTCGGTCGCTGTCGCGATCGCCTTTGGGAGCTCACCAAGACCGGAGTTGGACCAGCTTTCCGCCGATAGCCTAGCAATCGGGCGAATCGAACATCAAGCAGAACAAGCAGCGTCTGGATGCATCTGGCACTTCGCCACTTCGTCACTGCTTCGTCCTGAAAAGACTAAGACTGGCTGTGAATGTTATTGCTGTCCTCATCTTTCCTCTAGTCTCTTTCCTCCAATGTTCTAGGCTTCCTGCTACTAGTACGGTCCTCCACTCTCTTGGTACGTCATTTTCCAGGTAGAGAGCTGAAGCTTGAAACGGATCGTCTGGATCTGTTTGTCAATTGTTCTCAATAACTCAATAGATCTCAATAGTATCAAACTCTCCCAGTTTCATCCAGTGTCCATACTTTTGGACAAAATCTCATCTGGGCCCACCTGTAAGCCTGAATCGTGAGGATGAATGGCTCGATGGGGAAGATGAAGTGGTGCCTCCATGCACATTGCCCCATTGCAACTCTCACAAGTATTTCAAGAATCATTGAGCAAATTGAGCATTCAAAAAAAGGAAAAAGGGCGGAAAAGGAAAGTTGAAAAGGGAAGTCAAAAGCAAATGTGCCGATCATGTCAAGAGTATTGAGTCACATGTCGCCTCTCGACAAAAATGGCAACGCTGTTCTTCCGAGAAATTAAAACATTGCAAGCTTCAGCGAGCAACTGGCCAAAATGCGGGTCTGCTCAAGTATCATCGCATCACGAGGAGAAACAGAGATGAGAAAGGGAGAGTGAGAAAAGAGATGTTAGAAGAGAGAACTTGAGCACCATCCATCAGAATCTCCACAAAGTGTGCCCGTTTGGGCCATTTCGTAGTCCGAATACCATGAGAGACTACAGCAAAAGGAGCATGAGTCATGAGGATACTTTTTTGAGCAACCGTTCAAAGCCATATATGAGATCGATGCGGGGAAGACGAGGATTTAGGGCGAAGTAGGCGATGGTAGGATAGCAGAGCGGATATGCTCTGTTCAGCTCCAGGTACAGAAAGTTCTCCGTGCGGTCCGTTCAAGTATATTCTGTGCAAATGTTGCTCTATGATGCTCTATGCACGTGTGAGTGAGTGAGTGAGTGAGTGAGTGAGTGAGTGAGTGAGTGAGTGAGTGAGTGCTTCCGCTGGTATAAATGACTCTGAATGAGTCTGAGTGAGCGAGCGAGGGTGTTGATATATATATATTATATATATATGGGAATTTATCTGCTTCAGTTTGCTACCCGTCTCAATGGAATAACGCTTTAAGCCTTTGCCTTCCGGAAACAAAAAAGAGAAATGACCTCATCTTGGACTCAAAAAGAAGTTGACTAAGGGCTGGGCTTGGCAACGCCCATGCACCTGTTTTTCGCGCACAAATTGTGGCACACGACTCCGCTGCGACTGTCGATGGGTCCACAGTGAACTACACTCGACTACCCCAGGAGCCAGTGGGGTCAGATGCTGTTTGGTGCACTCTGCTGTCAACAGCCTCCAAGCTTCGCTGAAGTCGCTGCGGTCAAGTTGATCACAACCAACGCCTCGAAAGCACAGTAACTACTAGCGTCAGCACATGAAAAGACTCTCGGTGTTGTTGCCTCTACTGAATATTGGGCCATGTGGCCCCAGAATATTGCTCTTCGATCCTCTTCTGTTATATAGATGTATATAGATGCAGCATGAATCCTGGTCAGCCTCGGTACAGAAACAGCCTGGATGTATTACATTCAAGAGACAGCAAGAAGGACAGTATCTGGCCATCTGTCGATTTTTGGCAAGTTAGTTTGTCAATGTCGTGCCTGTACAAGCCACTTCCTGCGCACTCGCTGGGTGCACGACTGCTCACCCGACTGGGCATGGCAGCTGCCAAAATTTCCCATCGCCTTAGGGTCACCTACAAGGGTCACCTACAAGGGTTCTGCAAGTCGGTCCTCCATCTCTAGACATCGACATCTCTAGACATCTCTAGATATCTCTAGACTGGAGGTGTTCTGGTGCAGCATTTGTCTCATGAGTGTTGTTCAAAGTCCAAGTGCCAATCAGAGTTCTGCCACTCAACCCATGTCTTTCGGCCCAGAGCATCATGTAATGTCAGCCCATGTCGGCCCTATGTCTTTCATTTCCTTGGTCCATGCACTCAGCTCTTGAGCCGGCTTTCCCGATATCAAAACATGCTGATGTGATCCGATTTGCTCATGTAAGCTACCCAGTATGTCCTTTGCCTGCGGTTCACTGAACACCATGTTTTTGCGACTGCTTTGAGACAGGTTTGTGTGGCCTTCGGCCACACAACCTTTCCTACAAGTAAGACTTAATGATGTTTGTAATCACCTTCTTCACTTGTGTAATGATGTTTGCTTGGCTTCTGCTGAGAAAACAGAGCATAAAAAAACGTTGTTTTCCGTCTCTGGAAGATGGTGAACACAAGCGCCGTGCAGTGAAGCCTACGGCCTACGGAAAAAAATTCGGGCTGCAAGGCAGATGAATGGTTTGAATCGCGGCTTGAATGGCCGTCTGAGTCCTGGTCGCGGTAACGACACCTGAAAGATGCTGAAAGATCCTGAAAGTCTTTGAAGGATCTTTGTTAATCCAGGCGGAGAAACCAGGGCTCACGCTCTGTTGGCACGAGGCTTGGTTTGGATCGATCAGATCCAGGGTCCAAAGCTGTGAGATCTTCGAGCTTTTGGAAAGTTCGCAGGTGACTGCAATTGCAGGCACAAAAATGCAAAGATATGCGCTTTTGGTTCGTCAAAACTCAAGAGAGCACCGCGGAATCCTCCAGAGATGCGACAGATGTACACGCTGCAGCTGCAAAGTACCAAAATTTTTCATTAGAAGATACTGAGGAGAAACTAGATAGTTCCAAATTCTCCAAATTGTGCCCAGCAAAATTGCTGAGTTTTTTTTTGCTCCAAATTCTCGGCCAGACTCCGTGTCTCAGACCCGAACACTCGGGAATCTGTTGCCGATTACACGTCGGCTCCGAGGGACCTGCCCAACTCTGCCGATCAACACAACAGTTGACATCTCCGCTGAAATGGAAGCTGACTGGCTGACTGGGACCTGTGCAGCTGCCTGGTCCTTGGTGCAACAAATCAGGCCAATCCTGCAAGTGCCAAAACGCCACAGTTTGTACATCCAGGCCATCCATCTAGATTGTTTGTGTAAATATTATATAATATAAATATAAATATACATATAAAAATAAATATATATATATATATAAATAAATAAATAAATAAATAAAATAAATGAATGAATCAATGCATAAAATAAATAAATAAATATAAACAAATATAAATATATTATATATATATTATATATTATATATATTATATTATATATATATTATGTATGTTATATACATTATATATATTATATATATTATATATATTATATATATTATATATATTATATATATTATATATTATATATTATATATATTATATATTATATATATTATATATATTATATATATTATATATATTATATATATTATATATATTATATATATTATATATATTATATATTATATATATATATATATGGTCCAGCGTTCCAACCCCCCTCCCACCCCCTCGCCATGGTCATGGGTCAGCCATAGTACCCCCCCTGTGGTGTGGTGCGGGTGTGGTTGCAAAAATAAAGTAGCAGCGGGTAAGCACCAACACAGCGTGCTGATCACTTTTCCTCTATTGGGTTCGAAGTCGTTCAATCTTTCTCACAAAGAATCTAAAAGGGGCTACGGCACATATACAACATGCATGCCATAGCACAAACAGACATGACTGTACTAGGCGCTACATCTCTACATGCCTCCCGAAGGAGTGCCTCTGGTTCAACAGAGTGCGAGTGAGAATTTGCTGCGACTGTATATGTCTAGTCATTCTACCCTAGCCTGGCTCAGCCCCATTGTTCTTCATGCGTCAAGTGCTAAATGGTGTCTTCCTCCGCAAAAGTGGTAGTTGAGTTTGTCTAAGAGAATTTTCATCCAGCCTGAATCCAAGAGTTTTGTAAACAGGTCCGCGGGTATTTCTTGAGTGCTCTTCTTGTACAACTTTGCCTTTTCAGCCAAGACGGCATCTTGTGCCCATAGAAATACTGTATCTATGTGCTTGACCTTTCCCAACCCATAGAAATACTGTATCTATGTGCTTGACCTTTCCCAAACCATGACGGCTTCCAATTGAAAGTCCCGTCGTTGCATCCATGTATCCGATGATGGGAACATGCACTCCCCAGTCCCGGAGCTGAGACTGTTCTCCAAGTGCTTGGCAAAGTCCGGACACGAGTCCGTAGTATTCGGCCTCTCCGGAGCTCAATGCTATCACGGCTTGTGACTTGCAGGTTGTCCGGATTGTGCAACGGCCTAACTGTAGAACTGTGCTCCAGTGAAGTAAATTGCTTCTGGTTCTGAAACAGATGTATCATTCTCGGATGCGAACGAAGATAGGCGAACTCCACGTTTCAACATCTGGAAATGTGCTTGAGTCGGTCGTTTTAAACCTTTCGCTAGCTCTTTTCCAAGAACCAACAGATCAGGTCGATCTTGTGAAAGATACGCCAACCTCATACTTGCAGAACGATACATCGCTGAAGTCTCTTCGTCTAACTCTTCCGAAGTCAAGGCCTCTTCGATCCTCTCTTTGATCAAAGGCGTTGTCACCTTCGATCCTTCACAACCAACTTCTTGAAGAAGTAGGTCCACGTGTCTTGGATCCGCTTCCATCTCAATGCCCTTATCTGTCCACGTCACCAAACGATTCAAGATAACAATTGAATGATCCACATTCTTCATAGATGGGGTCCCAAAATACCTCGAACATCGATCGTCCAGTGTTTGCGAAGTTCAGCGGCAAACCATTCTAACTCTGCTTTCGGTCCTACTCCGGTGAAATCATCACCGCGCACCTCGGTGCGGATTTGCTTCTCGGCGTGGTAGTACAAACATGAGTTGCTTTTGGCTTGCTGAAAACCAATTAACATCATCACTGCTTTGATTGCTGCCTCCCAGTTGGCTGGAGCGTCGCGGGTTCCATAAAGAGATTTCCGCAACAAACCCACTTTGCCAGGTGGATATCCCATTCCACTTGGGAGTTCAACCAACAATCTTCTGCGAGCAGGGCTCCAAAAATGAGCTTTCTTGACGTCAATGAAAATCAAGCACGTAGTTGGATCCATTTGGGCTAACTTACCTTCAAGGTGAGGTACCCTCATGGTTACGGCCAAAGTAAATAATGCATTTTTTAAAATTCGTGACGAAGGGCTGTGATAGGCGGCATAGAAGCAAAGAAATCACTCCAGTGTGAAGGTGTGTCTCCCTTCTGCTTCAACTCTCTTGCCACGAATCTTGAGCGGTATTTGGGATGTGTCTCATCCCCTTTGTTCACATCCACCCAACGTGTGGAAATGACTCGCTCGTTGGCAGGTCTGTCGATGACCTCCCAAACACCCATAGCATCAATCACTTGGCATTCTTCTCGACGTGCCTCTTGGACCTTTGCGGTGTCTGGTGGCTTTCCCGAAACGTTGTCCCAGTAGAGTGGCTCCTCGGGGTCAATCTCAAAGTGTTCTTCACAAACAGGTAGTGTTTCAGGTGACTGTTCAACTTGTGCATGAACAGCTCCTAGAAAACTTTGCCTCTGAGAAAGTAAAACGTTTGTAAGGGAAGCTTCGACGTCTTCCATTGGATCAGAGCTCAGACCAGCTTGCTCTACATCCCTCTTTGTTCCAGGCTGGCGTGTTGAAGCAACACTGCCTCCCGGCTGCTCAGGGGTTTCGAGCCTAGGATCCTGTGGTGGATCCTCTGCAGGTCTTTTGATTCCTGACCCACTTGAAGGTCCAGATGCTCGCTCAACACCAACATCTTGACTAGCCAATCTTTGTCTCTTTGAAGCGTCTTGTTTGGCTTCCTCTGCTCTTTTGGCTGTAATCTCAATCCTCTTGCGTCCATACTCAGTCTCTTGCAACCTCTGGACTATCCTCAAACGACAATCCTCTGCATGATTGACTCCTTGTCGATCTAAACCAGAGCGTATAAGTGCACAAGCTTTGCAACCAGCACTAAAACCAAACTTGTCGAAATCATCTTGTCGAAGATAAACACGTCTGAAGTGAGGTTTCAATTCACTGGCTTCAACTTGTTTGACTTCTTCCTCTGGCTGTTCTGGCTCAATCGACACTGGCTCTGGAAGTTCCAGTGCCTCTCTTGGCTCTTTCTGTTTTGCTATATTAGGGGCCCATGGTGTACCAGTAACTGATTGAAGTAGCTGCAAATTCCACTGTTGATCATCCGGTTTGCATCTCACCGACTGTACAACAACAACAACAACTCCTTTGGGGGTTCCAATGATCTTCTCAGTAGTGTGAAGTCGTACTCCAAGAAAAATACCAGATTCCCAACGCGGCTCCAATTTGTGGTTGGTTTTGACTCGATAGTCCACACATTCACCAAAAGCTGGAAGTGCAACTGTCCAACCACGACCCTTGATGCGTCTAAACGCTGTCAAACCATCTCAAGCTTTCTCATCAAATGAAAACAAAGTGTACAAAGTGCCAACATACTCAATCAACCATCCCAAGATGGGTGATCTTGGGTCCAACTGTTGTCCAACTTTGTGTTCAACATGGTCCTTGAGAGTTCTGGCTAAACCTTGTGTAATTCCCACAGATGATTCAGCTTCACCGTTTGACATACCATGGCTATCTCCTTTTGGGCTGTTCTCCAACTGCACTGAAATTCCTTGTGATGATAAAGTGCTCTTGACTGCTGTAGCCAAAGCGATGATAGATGGCTCTTGATCTGATTTCAAGGTCAAAGAAGTGTAACCAAGAAATTTGATGTCCCTCAAGAGCGCAACTTCAGGGTAGTAGTGTTCTGTGCCTTTGGCAGGAACCAAATGTGAAAAGATTGCTTTGGTGAGACGGTCACGAACACAACCATAACGGGCATCTTTTGTCCACCAACAGCATCAGCCGGTAGTTCTCCAGGCGAACCAAAGAAACCATAGTCTAGTGATACAACACGACGACCTTCATCATCCTGACTGTGGTCAACTGCTTTGTGGGAGAACGATTTACCACGTCCTCTGACACAGTGACTGCACCACGACCTAAATGGTACATGGCAAACTTCATGGGCCTTTACCATCTCTGGCGGGCCTTGCTGGAATTGGCAATGGCTTGGCCGAAGACCCAGCATCTTCTTCAGCTAGAGCTTGACCCAAAGGTCTTACGGCCCTCCCTGCCTTTGAAAACTTGCATCCTCCTTCCCATCACCTGGACACCAAATCCAAGTTGGAATCTTCCATACACCGTTCCTGAAGTAGATCTTGATAGACTTGCCATTCTTCAAGACAATCTGGCCACCTTCTGGTGTCATCTTCACAGTGTGTCCCAAGTTTGTCACCTTGCCCACACTGAGCAGTGGCTTTGCGCTGTCCACCACTTGAAAATGTTCCAGTCAGCACCAGCCCACATTGAAATGCCATTTGAACAGCCTTCTGTCCCAAGTTTGGGATGATGCGTCCATCAGCAAGTGCAAAGTCCTTGAAGCCTTGTGGTGGCTTCATTGGAATTCCTGGAAGTACACCCACAGGAAGGGTGTTGTCTGATGCACCACTGTCCACGATGAAGTCCACACGGCACCAATTGTTTCCTTCTGGTCCATCACGTCTTGGTGGCAATTTGCTGGGGGGACCAAAGCTATTCAGCTCTCCCCTTTGACCTTCTTCACCTTCCTCAGCTTCTTCAGCTTCTTCAGGATCCATCTCATCGTCCTCCTCATTGGGCGCCTCTGCCTTCAACTCATCATCAGTGGGTTCAAGACCTTCTAGCTCAGCATCATCACCTTCGTGACTTTCTTCAGCAGATGCAGGTCCCATGCGTCCTTTTGCAATCCTCAATGGCCCTGCAGCTCTTCGATCACCAAAGTTGATCTTGGGCCTCTTTGGGGTCTCTTCCAAGTTCTCTTCACTCTCCTCGGCCTCCTTCTTCTTCTTTGGACCTTCTTCTGGAGATTTAGGCTGTTCAGAGCCACGACCAGAACTGTAGTAGTTCTCCCATTGATCGTGCTTCCAATAGGACTGCTTGTCCCAACTGCCTTTCCACTTGCTGGACCAACCCTTTGATGATCCACCATAGTACTTGGAAGTGTCAGCCTCTGACTTGCGATCTTGGTGTGCTGAACCAACACTACTAGATGCTTGTTCTGGTGGCTTTCCAACTTCAGCCAACAAGGCTTGAACATCTGCGTCCTCTTCATCTTCAGGATTGACAATGGGCGCTTCTTTCTCTTCCTCCTGCTTCTTCTTCTTGGCGCTTTCCTCCTTGAGCTCTTTGAGAAGCTGATCTTCTTTCCTCTTCTGCTGAGTCTTGCTCTTCTTTGAAGCCTTGTCCTCCTTGAACTTGGCCTTCTTCTCTTCCAACCTGCTCTTATCACCAGGTGGGAGTTCCATACTCCTGCGCTTGACTTCAGGATACTCTTCATCCTGATCGTCCTTAAGGAAGGTCTTCTCCTTCTTGCTCAAAAGCACAGCTTGGACTTCTTTCAACAACTCCCCTTCAGCCAAGGGAAATGTCCTCACCTTTCTCCCAGAGTCTGGTTTGTTGAAACGTCTTTCAGCCTCCTCTTGCTTTGCCACATTGGCAATAGATCTTTCTTTGAAGCCTAACTTCCTGTGCTCAGCAGCTCTTTTCCTCTGCCTCTCCTTGATGCAGGCAACTCTAGGACCAGCTTCTTTCTTGTCCATCTCCTGCCTGACAGAATGCTTCTGACCACGTGCCTTCTGTCTTTCAGCTTGGATCTTCTTCATCTCCTCCTTCTTCTGGGTGATGGTCTCCTCCAAAGTTTTGCGTGCTGGATGGTCACGATCCAGAAGTACCAAAGTTCCTTCAATGGACTTGTCCTCCTCGAGCTTTTGCATGATCAAAGCCTGAGTGAACTTTGCCACAGCGCCAGGTGTGAATCCCACAGGTTTCTTCTTCAATGCCTCTTTCTCCTCAAGCTTCTTCTTCTCCAAAGCTTTGATGTCTTTCTTTGCAAGGTCTTGACCCTTCTCTTCTCTCAAGGCCTCCAAGTCCTCTGCAGTCTCCTCAAATTTCTCCTCAGGGTCCTCCTCAGGAATCTTCACTTCTTCATCTTTCACTTCAAAAGCTTCAGATTCATCTTCTTCAATGTCTTCTGAATCGATGGTGTATTCAGAAGAGTCGTCAACATTCTCCACATGCTTTGTTCCAAACTTCTCTGGCTTGCACTTGGGCTTTGCTTTCAACAACACCGTCTCCCTCTTCTCGGCCTCAGTGGCTTCCTCCTGAGCAGGTGGCTTCTTTGCAGAGAGCTCCAACTTCATTCTCTCCTTGCTCTTCTCGGTGGCAACTCTCAGAGGTTCAGAATCCCAGACGTCGACCTTGGCATTCAACATGTTGCCAGTCACTGGATCCCAAAGTCCATAGTGTCTGCGTCCTTCTGGCACCACGTAGGGGTCCTTCTCCCAAGCATTGATTTGCTCTTGGTCTGGATGTCCATGAGTGCCAACCTTTGAACGAAGATGTTGATTGAATTGAGATGGGGAAGTGAAGCCTTTGTGTTTGCAGCGCTGGTATCCACAGTAGAACTTGCCCTCATAGCAGCTTTGATTGCAAACCAACCTGAAAGGCATATTCCAGAACACTTCAGGGCGCTTCCAAATCTTTCCCTCCATGAACTCCTTCTGCTCTCCTTCCAACGCCTTCTCATACTTGGTGAGTGGCCTCTGCCTGGGTGCTTGCTGTGCTGAATCAGCACTGGCAACACAGATGGCACCTTGCTCACCAGTTTGTTCTTCCCATTGGCCATCTTGGTTTGGCCAAGCTTCTGCATTCCAAGTCTCCTGACCTTCTGCTTCAGGTTCTTCAGACCACTGCTGAGTTTCTTCTTGGTTCTCAACGGCGTACTGCTTTCCAGATTTGGATCCTATCTTGCTTTTGCCTTTTCCTTTGGATGATTTGCCTTTTCCTTCTGGAGATCCCTTTGAACCCTTGGTCCCCTTACCAGTAGATGAGCCTTTTGAGCTTGAGCCCTTGCTAGTGGACGAAGAAGAAGTACCCTTTGACTTGCCATGCCAACAGTCTTTGGAAACATGTCCAACTTTCCCACATGTATAACATGCTTTGGTACTCTTACCTTTGCCTTTGCCTTGAACATAGTCCAAATCCATAGGTGCCGCTCGACCATCATCTACCAATGACTTAGACGCTTTTTGTTCCAGGAAGGAGATCACCTCACTACGCATTTTGGAGTAAGTGTCAAACCTCTGGATGTTGAGTTCAAGATGTTCTTCAAGATTTTCTGGTACCATAGCCAACAGCACTGCCCGAAGAGTTTCGTCTGAAGGTTTTGCTTGTCCTCTTGACTCACACCCCACGATGTCGGACTCAAAACGGTCTAACTACTTCTCATGGTTGACATGGTTGACCTTGAAGGGCTAAGGATTCTCCTCAACAATCTGATGTTTGTACGATTGTTTTGACGTTCATAGGTGACACACAGTCTCCTCCAAGCATCAAGCCGGCACTTTTTACGGGAATTGTAGACGACATCATACTCCATCCCCTGAGTCAAGGAAACCAGGGCTACATGGAGGTGAGCATCAATGGCATCGATGTCCTGCAGGGTGTGGTTCAAGAGATCCACATCGGTGACAGGGTCGTCACCCTTTCCTCTGGCATAGTCCAAAGCTTGTTGACCTGTAGGCCATTGGCTGCAGAACCACGTTTCAAACTTGTAACTCCAGGGCTTCCATTGCTTCTGAACTTCCTCATGACTACCTTTGAGGTTATCAGGCTTTCCAATCCCTTTCACATCAACAATCCGTGGTCGAGTTGAAGATTTCTGGAGTCCTTCTGCCAGCTTCTGTAGACCTTCTCTTGTCTCCCTGGCAATCTGCGCTTGCCCTTGCTGCAACTGCAGCAGCAACTGCGCAAAGACTTGTTCTGCTCCAGCCCCTGTTGCCCCACTTGGGCTTCCACTTGGACTTCCTGGCCCACTCATTGCTGATTGGGGAATGTTCTCGGTGTCCTATCCAACAGTGTCCTTGGATAGTTCCTCAGGTACTGCCCAACGTTGGCAAATACTCTCTGCAGGTGTCTCAAGTTGAGAATCTTCTGCACCAGCCTTACCCAAGTCCGGTCTAAGGCACTAGGCTGTGCTGAGTCAGCACTTGCCTGCCCTTGATCCAGATGGTTTACCCAAAAGTCTGATTCCCCAGAGTCAGAGCCCAAGGGCTCCGCTACCATGCAAAAATAAAGTAGCAGTGGGTAAGCACCAACACAGCGTGCTGATCACTTTTCCTCTATTGGGCTCGAAGTCGTTCAATCTTTCTCACAAAGAATCTAAAAGGGGCTACGGCACATATACAACACGCATGCCATAGCACAAACAGACATGACTGTACTAGGCGCTACATCTCTACAGTGGTACTATATATATATACATGTATATTTAAATACAAATGTGTGTAGATATAATGCGCGTATGTATATACATATATATATATATGTATCTATCTATAAAATGTAGAGATATATATATATAGGAAGTAGATACATAGCACATGTATATATGACTATATGTAGCACGTAGGTACTTTGAGGGAGTATGTGTGCTACGTTCGTCTAAAAGGTAGCATGTACCTAGTAAATGCAAGGCTGGTAGTCAGAATCGCTGCAAAAACCTAGCAAATACGAGGCTGGACCTCAGAAATGCTGCCAATAGCTTGCAAATAGAAGGGAAGGGGGTGCTACCTGGGGGCCCATACCATTGGGGGGGTAGGAACACGGAACACGAGACCATATATACATATTAAATACATACATATATATATATATATGTATGTATATATGTATATGTATATTTGTATATGTATATGTATATGTATATATATATATGTCTATATGTATCTGTATAGATATGTATATATATATGCACGTTGTACATGGGCACACAGTGGACATGACCATACTGTAGACTTTTGAAACATTTGAAACTATGGCAATGCCCACTTGTTATATTGGCTGTTTGTATCTTCCAAGACCTTCCCCATGTGGACACCGACACCAAGCCGCGGGCAGAATCCGTCACCCGGACCGCCTGGCGGTAAGACCAGAGGGTGCCCGACTGAGCGAAGTAGGCAGAAAGGGCAGAAAGGGACGACCCAACTGGGACTATTCTGACTATTCTTATGTGTTTTTTTAATGCAAATACATGTAAATGTGTGTATGGCTACCGGCTACAGAGATAGCAGCATAGTTTTTCGTTGAGAGTTGGCACCACGTGGTTCGAGTCACCCATGCAGCAACACTTTGGCAGCTGCAAACCACACCAATTACGCCCGCCTTGACAACGGCTCTCGGTTGGATCCTTTGCGCCTGGACAGAAACATCATCAAGACAACAAGAAATAAATATATATATATATATTTGCATATATGTATATAATAATGATTATATATGTATAAAAAGTGAAATGGATAGGAAGAAAAATACTGTACACTGTACACTATAAGGCCCAGTGTGCTCTTGCCCGAGAAGTCTTTAGTGTTCCATTCGCTTGAAGTCCGGAGGCCATGACGCCGCCTTGCCATCCTCTATCCTTAGCACAAAAACCGCTATGTTGGCTACAAAAATCCTCTGGCAAAACCACGTTCCGCTACAGCGATGGCACCAGCGAGCCGAGCCACGGCACACGCTGGACGAGCTCGGAGACCTCCCATCGGCAGGTTGGCTGAGCGACTCATACAAAGTCTACGCGCACGTGTTCATGTGCGAAACCATGGACACAAGCATACACCGTATCTTATATGATTGAGATATATATATATTAATGTATGTGGTACCCCCCAAGACCCACGTTTCAAGCAAATTTAGTTGTATTTATAATGTTCTTTCTTCACATTTTGGAATCTAAAACTTAAGACATTTTTTGGTGATCAAAACTTGCATTGTTTTGCAATTTTGTTCCCATCCCACCCTTCCCTAAGTACATCAGATCCAAGATTCAAGATTCAAGATCCCAAAAAAACTTCCTTACTCCAAGGGGGTAGGATTCAAGATTCAAGAGTCAAGATCCAAAAAAAAACTTCTTGAATCCAAGGGGGTAGGATTCAAGATTCAAGATCCTGAAAAAACTTATTGAATCCGAAGGCCTTCAGCCTTGAATCTTGAATCCAAAGGGGTTGGATTGAAGAAGTTTTTTCTGAGCCTTAAATCTTGAATCTTGAATCCAAAGAGGTTGGATTGAAGAAGTTTTTTTTCTGAGCCTTGAATCTTGAATCTTGAATCCCGATACTTAGAATCCGCCGACCCCGCTTGCAGCAGGGGGAGCGCGTCAGAGGAGAAATTGCCAGCAGCAAGTGTCCTTTCAGAAAGCAACGTTACGCAGTACAGGCCGTTGCCCGCCGTTGCCCCGAGGCTTGGGCCGGCACAAGTTTCCGCAAAAGTTTCTGGCAAAAGTTTCCGCAAAAGATTCCGCAAAAGTTTCCGCCAAAGATTCCGCACAAGTTTCCGCAAAAGTTTCTGGCAAAAGTTTCCGCAAAAGATTCCGCAACTCTCTGGGAGTTCTGGTATGCGGAAGACCGCAACCGCAAACACTATGTTGAAAATATATGATCGCAATCACAAATTAGGCAAGCGAAATTGCGTGGAAAACGATACCTTCAGAGCACCAACATTTGTGGAAAACATGGCTGCTGAAAATGAAAACCATGTGGAAGACATGCGAATAGGCAAGCCGAATTGCATGGAAAACAATGCCTTCAGAGAACCAGAATCTGTGAAAAACACAGCTCCTGAAGGTGAAAACCATGTGGAAAACACGCCAGTAGGGAGGCCAAATTGCGTGGAAAACATGTCCTTCAGAGGCCACAAAATTGTGGAAAACATAGGTTTGGATATGCCACACTCATGTGGAAACCCTAGTCTCGAACTGCGCTGAACCTTAGGCGTGTGGCCCAAAAAGAAAGGCCTTCATTAGTTGATTGGCGGCCCCCCACAACATATACATATACAAATTCGCATACGTATACGTATACATATACCTATACGTATACGTATACATATATACATATACCTATACCTATACGTATACCTATACCGATACCTATTTACGTATACGTGTACGTATACATATACATATTCATAATTACGTGTGCGTGTGTCAGCCACTGCCACTTTGCCTCAACCAACATCTTCTGCATGAGCTCTTCGAGTCTGGCGGTTCTCGCCTCAGTGCCCGAGCTCCCATGAGATCCCGAGCATCATCCGCATCGGCGACCACGAGGCTCCAACTTTGAGACCAGCCAGCGATGGGCAAGCTCCGCAAGCGCCTGGGACTCTCACAGCTAGCAGCTTCACGGTAAAACATGTTAAAACGGATCTTGAAAAAGACTGAATAGACTTTGAATAGATTTTGAATAGACTTTTAGGAAAGTTCCTCTGTCCAAGTTTGGTAGCGGTGCACGTGGCATGTCGGACAACCTCCCAGCTGGGACCCATCTGCGGAATTGTCGATCACTCGTGGCACCAGTGCCTGAAGCACCACCTGGAGACAGCCATCATCGCTGGTTCTTGACGCATAGCCGGCTTAGTCTCCCTTCAAATTTCTTAGAACTCCTCGCCAGAAATCACCAGGAATCACCAGGAATCGTCATAAGCGTGCCAACGTCCAATCGCCAACACTACGGTGATCTTGGAGTCTTATTGGAGGCTGTACATAGAGTCGGATAGAGTCGGACAGAGTCAGATAGAGTCGGACAGAGTCGGATAGAATCCGATAGAAGCGGATAGAGTCAGATAGAGTCGGATATATATAGAGTCGGATGGAGCCGGATAGAGCCGGATAGAGTCGGATCGATAGAAGCGGATAGAGTCGGATAGAGTCGGATAGAGTCGGACAGAGTCGGATAGAGTCGGACAGAGCCGGATAGAGTCGGATGGAGCCGGATAGAGCCGGATAAAGTCGGATAGAAGCGGATAGGGTCGGATGGAGCCGGATAGAGCCGGATAAAGTCGGATAGAAGCGGATAGGGTCGAATAGAGTGTAATAGCTTCCAAATTTTGCCAAATCATGCCAAAACCGTTTTTCCTGAATCTTTTTGGTGACTTTTGTAAGACCGGAAGTAGAAAAAGAACATCTCAACAATTCAGCCACATGGATCCACATGGATCCACATGGATCCACATGGATCCACATGGATCATACGAAGTTCCTTGAGGCCTCACAACTGCACAAACACAAGTACCACCAATGCTCGTCATTGCCCGTCCAAACGAAAGCACCTGGTCCGAAGCACAAGTCCTGCCGCAAAGAATGTACTTGACGAGCCAGGGCGGGTGGAACCCCTAAAAAAATAAAATAAAATGCAGGGGCCTAGGGACAAAATGCCAATACAATGAGAGGGCATAAGGTAAGATAGGAAACCCAAGCAGAATACAATGGACAGGTACAAAAAGAATCTGACGTCAGGACCCCTCCAAAATTGGTTTTAATCATCTTTGAAGGAAAACCCCCAAAATGGCAAGACCCAACCTCCAACATGCAAATAAATATAATTGGTCCCAATTCTGACATCTGGATGGTTTCTAGAAAACATACAAATAAATATAAATAAACTGAAGAAATCTCATTGGCTGCTGTGAGCTGCCCGTGTGTCTTTTGTTGGCCAAGAGAGGCAATAGAAAATGAGGATGGCCAACCCATTTTCGAATTATCAATTTTCAGTTTCATATGCTCCATAATGTCCAAGTGATTCCAAATCTCTGGAAGGTTTCACAAAATGATCAGACCGTTCACAGCTGTGCATCTTTGCTATCATGCTATCTCTGTCAGTTAACTTGATGGGTTGGGCACCTCAAAAAATAAATGCACCCACAAAATAAAATGCTGGGGTCTGAACCCATTTTATTTTCAGATTTGCTTGATTTCTTTATTTTTTAAGGGGCTCCTGCCCCCTCATTTTCTTTAGGTACACCAGAGGAGGATCTTGACGGAAGTGCTCTTGACTCCAGTACGCCAACAATGTGCTTAAAATCTTGAAAGCTCTTCAAAAGCTCTTGAAAGTATGGTTCGGATGGTTCGGTCATGTGAAGGCTTTGAACCCCTGCTTTTTCTGAGGTTGTCACCTCCCTGTCTAGGCCCATGCTTGGTGAAGCTAGGCCCATGCTTGGTGAAGCTAGGCCCATGCTTGGTGAAGCTCGACCTTTGGAAGCCTGGGCATTGGGGTGGCCCGCAGCTTTTGCAACTTTGAAGATCTTTGAAGGACCTCTGCATACTTTCTAGTCACCAGTGTTCGCCAGTGCAATTGCAAGGACAAACATGAAGCAATGAAGAGCATTTCAAACATATCTAAAGGTGTTTCATGGTGACTCTACTTAATTTTCCTCGACGAGCCTGATCGCAATCCCGAAGATGCTCCAGAACAACTTCCTAGCACGCTCAACATGACGAAATTAGACAATGAAAGACCCGTGTGGCCCACACGGTGCACCTGGGCTGTGGTCAGTTGAGTGACAATGTAGCGCCGCCTCAGCTGACACATTGGACAAAAACGCTTAAAAACACGCTTTAATGAAAAATATGAAAACAGAAAAACACCTTCTACAAAATGAAAAAACATCTGACCATCTGACTGTTCAGCGAGGTTCAGCGGTGAGAGAACTGGGGCTTCAACAGGTCCACCACATCTTTGATGGTGCACTCGTTCGTTTGACGAAGTTTCAAAATAACCTTTTCGTGGCACATTGGGTTTGATGACTTTGACTCTTGAGCTTCGGCAGTTGCTGGAAAGTTCTGTGAATTTCCTGAATTGGAATGGATCAAAATGTCTCACAAAATCTTGGAAGAACATCTGCTCCCAATTCCGTGGCAGAGGACAAGCCAATGAGAAGGCGCCCACCCTATCCGCTCCCATCCGCTTAGCCAGGTTTTAGCCCAATTGAATCAATTGGCCTCCATAAACTTCGGAAAGTTCAAAGTTCCTTCCAAGTTGTCCTGGAAGCCATGCCGGCTGAGAGGCAGGAAATGAATTGACTGCACTTAGTTGAGCAAAATGTTGAAAAAAACAGATTGATTCAAGCAGAACATTTTTTTCGAAAAGATGTTGATCAGTTTCAGTCCAGATTGATTCAGCTTGCATCATGTTTTAGTTTCTCAAACAATTCTCTGTACTTCAACTGCTCTCGCCTCCCCATGAAAAATGTGCTCGGTAAAGTCAACAATCGAGACTGGGTCAATGCCAACCTTGCAGCAAACCCACACTGTCACACCACAGGCTTAGGCCCGACTGGGACAAGTTTGAGGTCCAAACACTTTACAACTGAAGCGCAAAACAAGTCCGTGAAAAAAAGAACTTGCAGCCCATGTACAAACCACTTCCAATCCATTTCCAAGCCATTTCAAAGCCATTTCAAACCTCTAAAACTGATGAACCTCCCAGGGTGCCAACCAAAAACATTAGACCCAGGCCTCTTCGAGCGCCAAGACCGCCTCCGGTGTCTTGAGAATCCTCTCGAACTCCGCCTGGAAACCAGGAGTTCACCCAGGGCAGCTTAGATAGAAAGATCATGTAGATCCATATTGAATCTATATAGTTTTATATATGTTCATATAGTAAATATTTATGACATATGTACAATGTATATAATATGTATATATTATATCCGCCGACCCCTGCTTAGCCTTGGCCTAGGCGGGGCGGCGCCTGGGATCACCGTAGGTGTGCGGCATGGCCCTGTGCTGGCTTTACCATGGTACCTTTGTATCCGGTCTTTTGGGCAGGCCTTAAAACCCTCAAAACCCTCGCAGCAGCTTAGCAGCTTTCGAAGGCCTCAGCGCCGCACAACCCTCCGCAGCAGCTCTCGAAGCGTCCTGCTGGCTTTGCCATGGTGCCTCCCTATTGGCCCCACAAGCTGTTTCTATTGGGCTTCGAAACTGCCGCGTGGCACGTTTTGGGCAGGCCTTAAAACCCTCAAAACCCTCGCAGAAGGCCTCAGCGCCGCACAACCCTCCGCAGCAGCTCTCAAAGCGTCCTGCTGGCTTTGCCATGGTGCCTCCCTATATTGGCCCCACAAGCTATTTCTATTGGGCTTCGAAACTGCGTGGCACGTTTTGGGCAGGCCTTAAAACCCTCAAAACCCTCGCAGCAGCTTTCGAAGGCCTCAGCACCGCACAATCTCCGCAGCAGCTCTCGAAGCGTCCTGCTGGCTTTGCCATGATGCCTCCCTATTGGCCCCACAAGCTGTTTCTATTGGGCTTCGAAACTGCTGCGTGGCACGTTTTGGGCAGGCCTTAAAACCCTCAAAACCCTCGCAGCAGCTTTCGAAGGCCTCAGCACCGCACAACCCTCCGCAGCAGCTCTCGAAGCGTCCTGCTGGCTTTGCCATGGTGCCTCCCTATTGGCCCCACAAGCTGTTTCTATTGGGCTTCGAAACTGCCGCGTGGCACGTTTTGGGCAGGCCTTAAAACCCTCAAAACCCTCGCAGCAGCTTTCGAAGGCCTCAGCACCGCACAACCCTCCGCAGCAGCTCTCGAAGCGTCCTGCTGGCTTTGCCATGGTGCCTCCCTTGGTGCCTCCCTATTGGCCCCACAAGTTGTTTCTATTGGGCTTCGAAACTGCCACGTGGCACGTTTTGGGCAGGCCTTAAAACCTTCAAAACCCTCGCAGCAGCTTTCGAAGGCCTTAGAACCGCACAACCGCACAACCCTCCGCAGCAGCTTTCGGAGCGTCCCGCTTGCTTTGCCATGGTGCCTCCCTATTGGCCCCAAAAGCTGTTTCTATTGGGCTTCGAAATTGGGGTTCGAAACTGCCGCGTGGCACGTTTTGGGCAGGCCTTAAAACCCTCAAAACCCTCGCAGCAGCTTTCGAAGGCCTCAGCACCGCACAACCCTCCGCAGCAGCTCTCGAAGCGTCCTGCTGGCTTTGCCATGATGGTGCCCCCCTATTGGCCCCACAAGCTGTTTCTATTGGGCTTCGAAACTGCCGCGTGGCATGTTTTGGGCAGGCCTTAAAACCTTCAAAACCCTCGCAGCAGCTTTCGAAGGCCTTAGAACCGCACAACCGCACAACCCTCCGCAGCAGCTCTCGAAGCGTCCGGCTGGCTTTGCCATGGTGCCTCCCTATTGGCCACACAAGCTGTTTCTATTGGGCTTCGAAACTGCTTGGGCAGGCCTTAGAACCCTCAAAACCCTCGCAGCAGCTTTCGAAGGCCTCAGCACCGCACAACCCTCCGCAGCAGCTCTCGAAGCGTCCTGCTGGCTTTGCCATGGTGCCTCCCTATTGGCCCCACAAGCTGTTTCTATTGGGCTTCGAAACTGCTGCGTGGCACGTTTTGGGCAGGCCTTAAAACCCTCAAAACCCTCGCAGCAGCTTTCGAAGGCCTCAGCACCGCACAACCCTCCGCAGCAGCTCTCGAAGCGTCAGCACCACACAACCCTCCGCAGCAGCTCTCGAAGCGTCCTGCTGGCTTTGCCATGGTGCCTCCCTATTGGCCCCAAAAGCTGTTTCTATTGGGCTTCGAAACTGCTGCGTGGCACGTTTTGGGCAGGCCTTAAAACCCTCAAAACCCTCGCAGCAGCTTTCGAAGGCCTCAGAACCGCACAACCCTCCGTAGCAGCTCTCGAAGCGTCCTGCTGGCTTTGCCATGATGGTGCCTCCCTATTGGCCCCACAAGCTGTTTCTATTGGGCTTCGAAACTGCTGCGTGGCACGTTTTGGGCAGGCCTTAAAACCTTCAAAACTCTCGCAGAAGCTTTCGAAGGCCTCAGCACAACCCTCCGCAGCAGCTCTCGAAGCGTCCTGCTGGCTTTGCCATGGTACCTCCCTATTGGCCCCACAAGCTGTTTCTATTGGGCTTCGAAACTGCCACGTGGCATGTTTTGGGCCAGCCTTAAATGCTTCAAAACCCTCGCAGCAGCTTTCGCAAGCCTTCGAACCGCACAACCCTCCGCAGCAGCTCTCGAAGCGTCCTGCTGGCTTTGCCATGGTGCCTCCCTATTGGCCCCACAAGCTGTTTCTATTGGGCTTCGAAACTGCTGCGTGGCACGTTTTGGGCAGGCCTTAAAACCCTCAAAACCCTCGCAGCAGCTTTCGAAGGCCTCAGCACCGCACAACCCTCCGCAGCAGCTCTCGAAGCGTCAGCACCGCAGAACCCTCCGCAGCAGCTCTCGAAGCGTCCTGCTGGCTTTGCCATGGTGCCTCCCTATTGGCCCCAAAAGCTGTTTCTATTGGGCTTCGAAACTGCCGCGTGGCACGTTTTGGGCAGGCCTTAAAACCCTCAAAACCCTCGCAGCAGCTTTCGAAGGCCTCAGCACCGCACAACCCTCCGCAGCAGCTCTCGAAGCGTCCTGCTGGCTTTGCCATGATGGTGCCTCCCTATTGGCCCCACAAGCTGTTTCTATTGGGCTTCGAAACTGCTGCGTGGCACGTTTTGGGCAGGCCTTAAAACCCTCAAAACCCTCGCAGCAGCTTTCGAAGGCCTCAGCACAACCCTCCGCAGCAGCTCTCGAAGCGTCCTGCTGGCTTTGCCATGGTGCCTCCCTATTGGCCCCACAAGCTGTTTCTATTGGGCTTCGAAACTGCTGCGTGGCACGTTTTGGGCAGGCCTTAAAACCCTCAAAACCCTCGCAGCAGCTTTCGAAGGCCTCAGCACCGCACAACCCTCCGCAGCAGCTCTCGAAGCGTCAGCACCGCAGAACCCTCCGCAGCAGCTCTCGAAGCGTCCTGCTGGCTTTGCCATGGTGCCTCCCTATTGGCCCCAAAAGCTGCTTCTATTGGGCTTCGAAACTGCCGCGTGGCACGTTTTGGGCAGGCCTTAAAACCCTCAAAACCCTCGCAGCAGCTTTCGAAGGCCTCAGAACCTCACAACCCTCCGCAGCAGCTCTCGAAGCGTCCTGCTGGCTTTGCCATGGTGCCTCCCTATTGGCCCCACAAGCTGTTTCTATTGGGCTTCGAAACTGCTGCGTGGCACGTTTTGGACAGGCCTTACAACCCTCCAAACCCTCGCAGCAGCTTTCGAAGGCCTCAGCACCGCAGAACCCTCCGCAACAGCTCTCGAAGCGTCCTGCTGGCTTTGCCATGATGGTGCCTCCCTATTGGCCCCACAAGCTGTTTCTATTGGGCTTCGAAACTGCTGCGTGGCACGTTTTGGGCAGGCCTTAAAACCCTCAAAACTCTCGCAGCAGCTTTCGAAGGCCTCAGCACAACCCTCCGCAGCAGCTCTCGAAGCGTCCTGCTGGCTTTGCCATGGTGCCTCCCTATTGGCCCCACAAGCTGTTTCTATTGGGCTTCGAAACTGCTGCGTGGCACGTTTTGGACAAGCCTTATACAACCCTCCAAACCCTCGCAGCAGCTTTCGCAAGCCTTCGAACCGCACAACCCTCCGCAGCAGCTCTCGAAGCGTCTCGCTTGCTTTGCCATGGTGCCTTCCTATAGGCCCCACAAGTCTCCCTATTGACCCCACCAGCTGTTTCTATTGGGCTTCGAAACTGCCACGTGGCACCTTTTGGGCAGGCCTTAAAACCTTCAAAAGCTTCGCAGCAGCTTTCGAAGGCCTCAGAACCGGACACAACCCTCCGCAGCAGCACCCTCGACAAGCTGTGTCTATTGGACTTCGAAACTGCCACGTGGTACGTTTTGGGCTGGCCTTAAAACTTTCCAAAGCCTCGCAGCAGCTTTCGAAGGCCTTAGAAGCTCACAACCCTCCGCAGCAGCTTTCGAGGGTTGCCCCCTTGCTTTGCCATGGTACCTCCCTATGGCCCTACAAGCTGTTACTAGTCAGTTGGATCTTTACGTCGCTATGCAACTTTTCTGCTTGCACGGCCGTCCACACGGTGCGTTATGTTTGCTTTGGATTCGCCCGGAGCCACGCGCAGACCAAACAAGCGTCTGGGACAGTGGGCACCTGTGCGCATGCTGCTTCGTTCCCTTGCTCACTACGCCAGGACTCTGCATGCAGTTCTTTCTTGAGGCCCCAAAATGACAGAATTCTCCAATAATGATCCCTACCCCTATGAGGGTTTTTGCTTGGAAACCCTGGGATGGTGATCCAACCCCTCGAATGGAATTATGACTGACATGTCTTAACAAGGCTTGGGCACTATTTTGAAAACGGCAGCGCAATTGTTTGAAGGGATGCCATCCCTACACATGTGCTGCTTCAGTCTGACATGTGCTTAGCTCCTCCCGGGCTCAGCTCAAGTATTTAATTTCCACTTGCTTGCCAATGAGATGGAATGTGCTGTGTATCTGACTATGGACCCATATACCTATCTGTCCATCTACCTACCTGCCTATCTCTCTACCGGACCACCCAATTAGGGGGGGTCGGCGGCACCAGGGCGCTAGCCCATTTATATATTATATATATATGGTCTGAATAGTACATCTCCAAAAAATCTGCTGAAGTGAACGGGAAAACCGTCATCTTAACCCTGCGTTTGCCAAATCTAAGATGATGGGTGTGGTTTTCCATTGTTAGTCTTTTTTTCTTCGGTCCTCTGAACAAGTTTACGGTGTCTCCAGTCTGCGGTTTGGTTTCCTTGTCCTCCCTTGTGGGATTGCGGGCCCCTGCTTTGCTAGCTTTCTCTCTCACCCCAAGACTTTCCAAGCCAATTGAAACTCTTACTGATCGCTGCAATCGTTGTAATCCCTCAGGCATGATCATCATCTCATCAAGGTTTTCTTCCCACCTGTGAGATCATGCCATCGTTGTAGCAGTCCTGAGAGCTGCTTACAGCACAACGCTGCAAGTTTCATTGCGAGATACCAATAGAATCCATATGAATCGATATGAACCGATATGAATCGTGAATCGATATGAATCGATATGACTCGATATGAATCGATATGAATCCATATGACTCGATATGACTCGATATGAATCGATATGAATCCATATGACTCGATATGACTCGATATGAATCGATATGAATCGATGTGAATCGATATGAATCGATGTGAATCGATATGAATCAATATGAATCGATGTGAATCGATATGAATCGATATGAATCGATATGAACCGATATGAATGGATATGACCGATATGAATCGATTTGAATGGATGTGAATCGATGTCAATCGATGTCTGTCGATTTGAATCGATATGACTCGATATGAATCGATATGAATCGATATGATTCGATATGAATCGATATGAATCGATATGAATCGACCTGAATCGATATGAATCGATCTAAACCGATCTGAATCGATATGAATCGATTTGAATCGATATGAATCGATATGAATCGATATGAATCGAAATGAACCGATATGAATGGATGTGAATCGATGTGAATCGATAAGGATCGGTATGAACCAATATGAATCGATATGAATCGATATGAATCGATATGAATCGATATGAATCGATATGAATCGATGTGAATCGATATGAATCGATATGAATCCATATGACTCGATATGACTCGATATGAATCGATATGAATCCATATGACTCGATATGACTCGATATGAATCGATATGAATCGATGTGAATCGATATGAATCGATGTGAATCGATATGAATCAATATGAATCGATGTGAATCGATATGAATCGATATGAATCGATGTGAATCGATGTGAATCGATAAGGATCGATGTGAATCGATATGAACCAATATGAATCGATATGAATCGATATGAATCGATATGAATCGATGTGAATCGATATGAACCAATATGAATCGATATGAATCGATATGAATCGATATGAATCGATGTGAATCGATATGAATCGATGTGAATCGATATGAATCGATTTGAATCGATGTGAATCGATATGAATCGATATGAATCGATATGAACCGATATGAATGGATATGACCGATATGAATCGATTTGAATGGATGTGAATCGATGTCAATCGATGTCTGTCGATTTGAATCGATATGATTAGATATGAATCGATATGAATCGATATGAATCGATATGAATCGACCTGAATCGATATGAATCGATTTGAATCGAGATGAATCGATTTGAATCGATGTGAATCGATGTGAATCAATGTGATGTGAATCGATGTGAATCGACCTGAATCGATATGAATCGATCTAAACCGATCTGAATCGATCTGAATCGATCTGCAGGCATGAATCGATATGAACCGATGTGAACCGATCTGAATCGATATGAATCGATATGATTCGATTTGAATCGATATGAATCGATATGAATCCATATGAATCGATATGAATCGATGTGAATCGATATGAACCGATATGAATCGATATGAACCGATATGAATTGATAGGTACAGTAGATCAGTATAGATCAGTAGGTATTGCGAGGCTTAGGTGGCTGCCCCGGCGCGAAGCAGCGACTCGATCTTTTGGGTCACAAATTGGACCTGAAAGCAACGACAATCGAGGCAGATTCCGGGGATCGAGCCTCCTGACACATGCCAAGCAAAGCATGAGACGAACGAAGCATGATAGGCCTGATAGGCTCACAACAGGACATCATTGTTCGTCATAGTTCACACTCATTTTGATGATCTGGACAGAAATGTCAGGCCTAAGCCCACCTCAAGTAAAATACACTGGTTTTCGATCCGCGCTGTTTAGAAGCTCACTAACGGTGAGTTCCACATACTGAAGCACAGAGGAATTTTCCCGTGTCTGGTGCTCCCAGCCATCATCTCTTCTTTTTCTGTGGCAGCCACAGCGGACACTACCTTAGAGCAGGGTCCTGTAATGTTGCTTATCTGCTTTGGCATGCTTTGGCTCAAAAAAGAGTAAATTGATGTAAATTGAATAAATCCTTGCAGCCCTTGCAACTGGAAATCCACTGAAATCTTGTGACTTTCAACTCTTGGCCCGAAGCTTCGCAGAGGATGCCAATGAGCAAGTTCAACACAGTGCAGGCCTTGATCAGCAACGAAAGGAACACTGGAAACAAGTTGTGTTTAGCTGCACAGGGGGAAGGACCAGTGGAACTGCAGACATGCTGGGACCGCAACCGGAGAAAGTGGCAACAGTCATATCATCATATCCATGGTGTTGCTTTTTAGCTTTACAATGCCAAGCAAACAAATATAGGAAGTGCAGTACGCGATTCTCTCACTGGAACTCTATGGCTCTATGGCTAATAATTACAGCAACCATTTCTGAGGAAAAACAGGGGTGTGAAAGCGGTCTGGAATTCTGAGTTCATCACGGCCAGGATGGCAAATACGAATATCAAAAGCAAGCATGCCACACTTTCAGCGCCTGCGAAGAAAAGTGAAGCGAGCTCTGCCGTTCGTGCAGTTTCAACTTCGGCCACTTGACCGTGGAAAGCTGGTCTACTCAACGGCAATCTTCACACGAAGACACCCGCAACTTCCAGCCTACTTCATCGCAGAAGGGGGCAATGTCATCCAAAAATGTACCATAGATCAACAGGGTGTACATCGAATGTTGGACCTAGGTCTGAGAAGCAGGTCACCGTGAAAAGGGCACAACCAAAGGATAGGGAATAGCACTCAGGACTTAACACTCAAAGATGCGGGTTCCTTTAGTTCCCTTTACTATCCTTTACCGCGTTCCGATCACACGTTAGAGGTCTATTAATCTACAAGAAGTCTCTTGTTGGCAACCGAACTGGGCTGACCCAATGCCAAGCCGAGCTTTCCGGCAGTAGGAAAATAAAAGCTTCCCATCACCGTTCCAGCAGCCAGCTGCGTGAAAGCAATGGAAAAAACATACAAAACGATGACCTAGGCAGCATGGCAAGAATGACAAGACTGGTGTGTCAGCAACTCGGACATTCTTAAAGTACGGCATTGCATTTTTCAGATCCCTTTTGGAAGCAATGAGAATCTTGACGATACATTCAAACCTTAGTGCAATATGATATGACCTTAGCTCTGGACTAAGAGACACATAACGAAGAAGACGCTGCGGGCAGCAGCGGCCATGCCCTTCAAAAGCACTTCTGTCTCGTGTTCAAACTTGTTAAACATGTTATCTCAACAGGAAGAGCTCAAGATGCAAACGTTCACGAAGAAACACTGCATCGAACATTCATCGAACTGGATCGACACCGTCAGCCTTGATAAGGATCATCAACTCCGAGATGGATCTCAGCATCCTGGGCACACGACTCCACAGCTCTGTTGCTAAGGCCTAGTATCAAGACCAGGATGGTTCAGCACAAACTCCATATCGATGTAACATGATGTAACCAAATGTAATCAATACAATGATGCCCGATGCGGGCATATTGTTCAGATTTGTTCAGCATGCCATCGATTATCCGATGCTCAGCAAGAGCTTCGCAACATGGTCCTGGCCATGCGAGTCAGCCGTAGGAGTCTGAACCTCGATGACAGAGCTGACACATCGAGCAGAAAAATTGTCAGACACCAAAAAGATGCCAATTCCTAACAATCACACAGACATAGATTAGATACTTAAGTTTCACAAGCTTTCTATTCATCTAAGCCTCTACACACTGTTGGCCACCACACAGAAGTGAGACACGTCACGCACCGAACTGCCAGCCCTTCTCAATGTTTGTAAGCTTTGTTTGTAAGCTTTTCTCTGCTGCATGAGACAGGCCGTTTGCAGACCACAAGCCCCCACCAATTCTCGACTTTGCTGACACAGAGAATTCAAATAGCACTTTTCGCCACAACGTTTTCTGCAACACATTCAATACAGTTCAGCTTGCAAGCCCCCACCAATTCTCGACTTTGCTGACACAGAGAATTCAAGTAGCACTTTTCGCCACAACGTTTTCTGCAACACATTCAATGCAGTTCAGCTTGCAAGCGGAACTCTCACCTTACTGTTTGCATTCCTGGGGCAAGGGGTTGAATAGCACCATGTAGGCATGAATTGGCATGAGATATTGTCGCGATGGGCAGGGGATCACTGGCCATTTCTTCGAGGCAAGAGGATCTTGAGGGTGGAGCGTGGTGGAGTATTCGGAGTGTGGTGGAGCGTGGTGGGGTCCTTTGGTCGCGTAACATGCAGCTGCTTGCGGCAGCTTTACGAGGTAGTCCGAGGTAGTACATACTTTGGTCTAACAAGTCTTACAACACCCAGCTGGCATTGTCGAAAGGCCACATTGTTTTTCTTCCACACCTTAGTTGGCGGAGATCCGCTGCGAGTTTTAACGTCTCATCTTAACAGCAGTGTACTCTGCAAGCCATGCTGTCACCATGTTCGCAGCGCCATTGACCCAGTGCCCAGGAGGTTTTCCTTGTTCACGTGTCACATTCCGTCGATGCCCTGTCAGCCATTCCAGGCTCATCTCAAAATCTCATGTGGTTTCTGCTTGTGAGCCAAACTCAGCTCCAGTTCAAAAATAAAGATCATCTGAGCTCTGCAGATAATCTGTAGCCTTGGCACATTTGGCATCTTTTCCCAAGGTCTTCTGCGTAGCAGACTGAGTCCCTCACAAGCGGAGAATGTGAATTGGAATTGGAGGGATCTGTTCAGAACTTGAACCTGACAGCATTTCGTGACATTTTCTTGGTGGTTTGTTGATCCCCTTGGCTATGTGGCAAATTGATGCAAATTGATCTTACCAAGAAAACATCACAAATCAAAGTGTGGGCGGCAATAACAGAATCTATCCACGTGGATCTGAGTTTCCAGGATCTTGCACCAGCGTAAAACGCTACGACAAAAGGAGCACTCTATATGGTGCCAGAACATGATAAAACTAGACGACGGATGGCCCGAGAGAGTAGAGGAGCAGGGTCTTCTATTGTTAGTATGGAGACACCATATGACAAAACAATATATTAAAGATGTATTATAGGCAGACAAGAAGATGAGTATCCAGACAATATAGCACAAGTACACGACAATAGTTTGCATCACAAACACTTTTACACACAGAAGCTTTTACACACAGAAACTTTTACACACAAAAGCTTTTACACAGAAAAGCTTTTACACACAGAGGCTTTTACACAGAGGCACTTTCACACACAGACGTTTTTACACAGAGGCGCTTTTACACACAGACGCTTTTACACACAAACACTTTTACATACCAAAGCTTTTAGCCACAGAAGCTTTTACACATAGACGCTTTTACACATAGACGCTTTTGCACACAGGCGCTTTTACACACAGACACTTTTACACACAAACACTTTTACACACAAAAGCTTTTAGCCACAGAAGCTTTTACATACAGAAGCTTTCACACACAGCCGCTTTTACACATAGACGCTTGTACACACAGGCGCTTTTACACACAGACGCTTTTACACACAGAAGCTTTTACACACAGACCCTTTTACACAAAGAAGCTTTTACACACAGACGCTTTTACACAAAGAAGCTTTTACGCAGCGTTTACGCAAAGACGCTTTTACACACAGACGCTTGCACACACACACAGCTGCTTTCACACACAAACACCTTTACACACAAACACTTGTACACACAGACACTTTTGCACACAAAAGCTTTTACACACAGACGCTTTTACACACTAACACTTTTACACACAGACGCTTTTACACACAGACGCTTTTACACACAGACGCGTTTACACGCAGACGCTTTTACACACAGACGCTTTTGACACACAAACGCTTTCACACACAGACGCGTTTACACACAGTTTTTGACGATCGAACCTCATTTCGTGCGAAAGGGTTTGCGGGACAAGTGAAATCGCAATTTTACCCTCAATTTTTGACGATCGAACCTCATTTTGTGCGAAAGGGTTGCGCCGGACAAGTTGAAATCGCAATTTTACCGCAGTTTTTGGCGATCGAACCTCGTTTCGTGCGAAAGAGTTCGCGGGACAAGTGAAATCACAATTTTACCTCAATTTTTGACGATCGAACCTCGTTTCGTGCGAAAGGGTGCCCGGGACGACTTGCAAATCGTAATTTTACCGCAGTTTTTGACGATCGAACCTCGTTTTGTGCGAAAGGGTTGCGCCGGACAAGTTGGAATCGCAATTTTGCCTCAGTTTTTGACGATCGAACCTCGTTTCGTGCGAAAGGGTTGCGCCGGACAAGTTAGAATCGCAATTTTACCGCAGTTTTTGGCGATCGAACCTCATTTCGTGCGAAAGGGTTGCACGGGACGACTTGCAAATCGCAATTTTACCTCAGTTTTTGGCGATCGAACCTCGTTTCGTGCGAAAGGGTTGCGTTTCGTGCCGTCTCGTTGGCACTGCCCCTGCCCCCGTCTTCAGAAGAGAAATAGAAAAGAAGGAGAGGGCAAGAGGGCAAGAGGGCACGAGGAGAAGATGTGAAGATGTGAGGGCAAGAGGGCAAGAGGGCAAGAGGGCAAGAAGGCAAGAGGAGAAGATGTAAAGATGTGAGGATGTGAAGATGTGAAGATGTGAGGATGAGAAGATGTGAAGATGAGAAGATGTGAAGATGAACAGATGTGAAGATGAGCAGATGTGAAGATGAGAAGATGTGAAGATGTGAAGATGTGAAGATGAGAAGATGTGAAGATGAGAAGATGTGAAGATGAGAAGATTTGAAGATGTGAGGATGTGAAGATGAGAAGGTGTGAAGATGAGAAGATGTGAAGACATGAGGATGTATGAGAAGATGTATGAGAAGATGTGAAGATGAGAAGATGTGAAGATGAGAAGGTGAGAGACAGACCCCCACTATTGGGAGAACCCTGCGCTCAGACGCTCTCGGGAAAAATTGTGAGTGCCTCAGGCAAAATCACAGTGAACAACAACTCCGATCGTCTCAAATGAAAAACGCATAGCAAATGCAGCCAGAAGTGCCTATGCATATGTGAAACAACCCGAGGCAAAAAAAACACATGGAGCCTGAGTCCGCGACAGATGCAGCACACTCGAACAGCTCTGGTTATGCTACTGCATTTACACACACACTTTTTCACACATACAGACTTATTTACACACATACACACTTTAACACACACACACACACACGCGCTTTTACACACAGACGCTTTTACACGCAGACACTTTTACACACAGACGTTTTTACACACAAGCGCTTTTACACACAAACGTTTTTACACACAGGCGCTTTTACACACAGACAGTTTTACACACAGAGACTTTTACACACAGACGCTTTTGGACCAGACAGTTCGGTCATTCTGAGAGCATTTCCACACACAGACTTATTTACACACTTGCTCAGAAATAGCTTATCGAATTATTGATGTGGAATGCATCGCACGTGCAAAAACACCTCAGTTAAACCTGACAGGAGTGGTTTGATGATTGGAAGTGAGATACTGTGCGAAGATTAACTTTCTACGTCCTTGCTCGAAGGATTAACAAGTTCTGATGCAGCTCAGTCAGATTGCGAAAACCGTACAATTGTTTGGTTTGAAAAAACGACATGCCGGTTCTTGGCTTGGCCGGTCGCCATTTCGGAAAATGGAAAAATATGCAGGTACGTTTTCACGACATCATGGATGGGTCTTCGTTGGCCCGTGCCATCCATGTGCCCACGGGCCCCCTGCAAAAAATTGAATGTTAGAAGTTTTACATCTATTCAGATGTTTCACACACACGCCCCGCTGCCGCGGGGCTCTTTTAAGGCCCCGACGAATGAGATGAAGGTGAAGATGAAGGAAAGATGAAAATGAGATGACGATGAAAATGAGATGACAATTAATTAACCAGAACACAAGAGGGGGAACGCAAAAAGGAAAAGGAAAAAGAGAGAACACCAACACCAACACACCTGGCCCTGAAAGGGCAAGGAAAAAAGCAAAAGCGGACGGACGACGGGCCAAAAAACCAACCAGAGGAGGGGGGGGCGGACAGAAGGGCGAGAGCCAAAGCCTACCTCGGCACGCGAAGGACCCAAACCTGACCTAGAGAGAGGAAGCGCGCATGAGATAGGGGACCAATGGGGACCTAGTTGATGAAAAGTGATGCATCCACAATTCATGCAAGGGTTCGTGATAAGGCTCAAAGGCCCTCGGTATTCAAGTCAAAACCCTCTGGACAGCTGACGTGTTCAACCCCTGAATTACGTGCACAATTGAACCTCACCAACGACCATAAAAGGAAAAAGCACCATACCTGCAAGCATGTCCTCTTGCCTGATCATGCGAAAATGGCTGCAGGCAGTCTCTTGAGCTCCACTGAAAAAGAAGATTGT